GAAGTGGTGCCTCGATGCGCACCCGGGATCCGAACCCGGGCCACCAGCATCGCAGCGCGCGCACTTAACCACCAAGCCACAGGGCCGGCCCACTGTACCTCACTCTTGGTCATATCAAATATACTCTATAATCATAGTTGTTATTCTTTGTTTTCTTGAAACTTTTCTTATTTTTTGAGTTACAGAAAATCTTTTTCCCTGTTTTGTGATTGTCAAAACAGTTAGCATAGTCTTTGTAACAGGTAGAATTAAGGTTTCATTGAGATGGTCTTGGGTTGGTTTGTTGATCTTGTACCTTGATATTTGTGACGTGGGTGTGGGTGATACCTTGGCTGAACAGATGAGTTCTCAGCAGTCTGATAAGACCTAATCTCTGCTTTAAATGCTCTCTAGAGTTTTTCTCATCTCTTTCTTGGCCCTGGTTAGTTTTTTCTCTCTCATGATTGTGGGAGTGATAGCTCGGCTCCTCTGACCTTCAGTGAAGATGTCTCAGTGGGTCACGCCGCTACTACTTGGTTGTGAGAATAGGAAGTTTCTAACAGTTTTCCCATGTTCCACAACAGACACAGACAGTATGGATGCTGGGTGATGATGGGGATAGTTCACATTAGAGTCCCTAATAAAAGGGCAGAAAGAATTGAGAAGAACGAAGAACAATGAGGATGGGGGTCAGGGAATAGAGCCTCAAGATAGACTGTGTAGAGAGACATCACAGCATAGGGGTTAAAAACATGAACTAAATCTGCTGGCTGGGTTTGAGTCCTGGCTGCACCATGTAATAGCTGTAGACCTTGGGCAATTACTGTTTTCGGAGCCTCATTATTATACTGGGGATAATAATAATACCTACCTCATAGAGCTGTTGTGAGGATTAAATGAGGTGAGGCTTGTAACTTACTTGACCCATAGTAACTGTCTAGCAAATGTCATCAACGTGAAGGGTGACAGGAAAATGAAATGGAGCATCTAGATTACATCGCATTTGTCGTAGTATTAATGTATTTCCTCAATCCTAAGATATACTTTTTTATGTTTTAATATTATTGAAATAAAAATGCCTAAGTCAGTAAGTACATTTAATGTGGTGGACAATGTTTCTTTCCTCAATAACTGTTATTCAATAGTGCATCTTCAGATTGAGACAATAAGGTATTGTTTATGGCTTAATATATGATTTACATCATAGGGATTGGTATTAGGTAGCCCATTCAAAAATACAAATAGCCAGTAACTCACTGTTAACTGTAGTAGTTATTAGTTTTTGAATAGTTATGTGTTTAGCTACAAGATAGAAGATGTTTTGATTGACTGTGTAGAGATTTGCACAGGAGATAGAAGGGGTATATTCCTGTCATTTACAGAACTTTTGAGTTGGTACACATAGCCTCTTTTCCATTTCAGGTATATCCTGTGAAGTACATAATTCTGAAAGATTTCAGGATGAAGAACACCTGGAATCTTCCTTACTGAAGTTTTTGAACCTCATATTTTGCAATTTGTTTTTATATTTACCTATAACTGGTTATCTTTGACCCTTAAGTTTTCGAATATGTTATTGCTTTAACTTCTTGGGAAAAGTTAATTTTTGGCAGGTAATAATGAGACTTTTCCCCTCAAATTTTATAGGTTATTTGGCTGTTTCTTTATTTCTACATGAAAGTCATGAACTGTTGCTTCTCCTTGTGAATACAGTTGTAAAGGTACTGTATTGTATGTTGGTTAATATGCAGTCTTAAATTATTCCTGCAGGCATCTGACATTTCTCCTTAATCATATTGCATTAGATATTTTTGGAAGAAGGTAGGGTTACAGAATGGGCTTAGAAAGATCTTTAAGATCAGTTTCTCTATCTATAAAATGGAGAGAGAGAACTTAGCCAAGTTGTGAGGGTTAAATAAAACACTATATAAAGTAGTAGTTGCTACTGATGCTGTTATTACTGTTTCATTTAAAAAAGGAGAGTTAGAATTATAACTAAAGTCTCCAGACTTCTAGTCAGGTGCACTTTCCAGCTGTTGTCTTTTTCTCTAGGGTCTGTTCTAAAGGGGTATAGATATAAATTGAATAATTGAAGTCTTTTAAATTCTAAAAGTCATTTTAAAGGAGAATAGAGTATAATTGGGTAACTGAAATATACAGGTAATAAAAACAATTTAATCCACACTCACAATATTTTTTCCTGTTAAACTTTTAATCAAAATTGGTAATGAAGTATAATTGAATTGTTGAGCTTTTCATGTTTATCTTGTGTCAGTCTTTTGATATGTGAGTCTGTGTGTGTTTGTATAGTACTTTCTGAATTTTAAATCATGTACCTTATTAAGGTTACTAGTAGCTTAAATTTTTCCAAACTTTCTAAAACATATTTTCAGGTTCTATTAGAATGATTTATAGACTTTGTGCGTATATAAGTATATATGAATGCATACATTTTATTGTATATATTTGAGAATTATTTCCTTTTAAACTTCCACTCATATCATTAAGAAGAAAAATTCGTAAAATTGTTTTGTTATTAGTTTAGAAAAGTTTTAAGGACTATAATAAAGGAGACTAGTTGGCCAGTGTTAGAGCAGAAATACTATTTCCTTTTGGATCAGTTGCTTTTTGGCTATATTTATCTAATGACTGTATTAAGGAAAATGAAACAGAGATATTCCTATAAAATATGAGGTAAACCTGAATGTACAAATTAATTATAAAGTTAGTAGAAAACTATTAAGTATGTGGGACTTAAGTATATTGAGCTCACTATCCCTAGTTTTGAAATCTGTACTGAATGTTTTCTGTGCTTAATAATTACGTCAGGACTTGCAGAGCACTAACCTGGTAGAAGTATGTATGGCACTTACTATCGTCAGCCAGATTTTTCCTCAAGAAATGATTCCAGCTGTTCTTCCATTAATAGAAGATAAACTTCAACATTCTAAGTAAGTAAATTCTTTTTGAATAGGTGTGTATACTATATATTTCAAAACAAAAAGTTTATACTCAAAAATTTATTGTATCTTTAACTTAATGCTACCAGGGTAGAGGATATTTGTTGACTGCCAGATACAGTGCAGAAATCCCCGATAGCATCGTCCTTTATTTTTATGTGGGTTTAGAAGAATGTCAGGCAGCTTTCTAAAGTTAAACTGAGAGACAGCGAGCCTTAGTGTCAGGAATCCTTGGCTTTCCTCCCACTTGTACCACTAACCGGCAGTGGTCCTGTTTTTCCTTTGGCTATGTGGGGTTGGTTGAAGCTCCTTAGTTCTCACCAAGTTGTTTTGAGGATAAAGTGAAATAATGGAAAACATTTGGAAATGGTTCAAGTGCTATGAATGCAGAGCTTCGGTGTATTGGGGATGCTTTTAGGTGAAAACTGCAGTGCTCAAATTCTGTTTTATAGCAGAATATATGTAAATAAACCTTAACTTGTAGTTTTCTGCTAATCTTATCTTATAAGATTCCTTAACTTTCTCCTTATCAGCTTGAATTACTTTTTCACCACGCTTGGAATTATTTTGTTTTTGACGAAGCCTCTTTAATTTCATAACCTTTAAAGCTAGGAAAAAGTTTGCAGTCATTTTCCATTTTTCTTTTGTGATTACAGTATTTTAATTATACATACTTAATTTTTATTTATTTATTTTTTTTCCCCAAAGCCCCAGTAGATAGTTGTATGTCATAGTTGCACATGCTTCTAGTTGCTGTATGTGGGACTCGGCCTCTGCATGGCTGGAGAAGCGGTGCGTCAGTGTGCGCCCGGTATCCAAACCCAGGCCGCCAGCAGCGGAGCGCGCGCACTTAACTGTTAAGCCACGGGGCCGGCCCCATACTTTTTTTTTATTGAGGTAACATTGGTTTATAACATTATATAAATTTCAAGTGTACATCAGTATATTTCCATTCCTGTGTAGACTACATTATATTCACCACCCAAAGACTAATTACCATCCATCACCACACATATGTGCCCTGTCACCCCTTTCTCCCTCCTCCTGCCCCTCTCCTCTTCATTGTAATGAGGTTTTTGAAACATGAGTTTGGCAATGAGAGGAGTAACATCTTTTAATGTGAGTCTTCCCATACTTCCCTGTCCCCCTAAAGTATTTGGAGTGTGATTGCCCATGGTATAAAAAAAGAAATGTGAAAAGCTAGAATGTTAAAGAGACTTTTTATATTAATGAAGAGGCTGTTTAATATTACTAGCCAAAATTACCTCATACTAATTTAAACTTACTGTTGATTCTTTTCCCAATTTCTAGAGAAATCGTCTTCAAAAATGAAATTAGGGAATTAAGGAATTTGTTTATCTTGTTTATTCTGGTTTCAAAAGTAATATATGCTTGTTACCAAAAAATTCCATAACTATGGAAATATGTAACATGGGCAGTTAAAATCTCCTGAAGTCTTGGAGGCCAGCCTGGTGGTGTAGTGGTTGAGTTTGTGCACTCCGCTTTGGCGGCCCGGGGTTCGCAGGTTTGGATCCCAGGCGCAGACTTGACGTGCTGCTTGTCAAGCCATGCTGTGGCGGCATCCCATATAAAGTAGAGGAAGATGGGCACGAATGTCAGCCCAGGGCTAGTCTTCCTCAGCAAAAAGAGGAGGATGGGCAACGGATGTTAGCTCCGGGCTAATCTTCCTCTCACACACAAAAAAGAAATCTCTTGAAGTCTTACATCTTAGAGATAACTACTTTTTATAGTTTGGTAGATTAGAATAAAGAAATTAATAATAAATGTATAATTCTCTCTTTCTTTTTAGATTAAGGTAATAGCTGATATTTGGAAATCATCTGGTCTATAATCTTTTCAGACTAAATGCTTGACAATTCAGATGGTTTGTTTAGATATCGTTTTTTATCTTTAGGGAGATTATTCGGAGAAAAGCTGTTCTGGCATTATACAAATTCCATCTCATTGCTCCCAGTCAAGTACAGCATATTCATATTAAGTTTCGGAAAGCACTTTGTGACAGAGATGTTGGGGTCATGGCTGCTTCCTTGCACATATACCTTAGGATGATTAAGGTAAGTTGGAAATATCAGCAGGTAATGAGTAGTTACCATTAGGAAAATATAATTATGGAATTAAAAGAAAACTAGATTTTTCAGTAAAATTAACATTTTAAGTTTTTATCATTGACTTTTTAATAGTAATTTTTGCAAGTTGTTGATAACATGAGTTGTAGGCATGTTACAGAATTAGTCTTTTTTTAAAGCCTAAAATTTGTTCATGTTACTAAAGAAGCATGGAAAATGATAGTTATGGAATTATGGAAGGAGATTGAAATTTGCAGATTTGAGGTTTTTCAAGCAGTGACTCTCTTATACAACTTCATGAGATGCATATAACAGCTTATAGAAATGAGGAGAACCAGTGGAGGTTGTGCAAGGTATAAACTACAGTGTTGACTCCATACGTTGGTACTGTGTCAGACGAGAGAGTTGAATGGTGTGGTAAAAAAATTTTGTAAATTGTGACATGGATTTATACTAATTCAGCCCCAGTGTATTGTGTGAAACTCTTTGGGTCTGAAAGTATGTATTCGTGAGAGATTTCATGAGTACCTCATAACAAAATGGAATATTCCATTGAAGTCAATTTAAAATTACAGAACTGAAGCTTGTCTTCACTTTTATGCATTGTGTTCCAAAATATTATGTTATAAATAGATATTTGAATTAAATCTTACTTTTCCTCTAGCATTTACTAAACTTTGAAAGAGCTATTATTTCCCTTCCAAAAAATTTGTCCTTGATGCATAATAAAAATTACAATGAAGAACCTAATGTTCATTTTGAGAAATGTGTATTTTATTTTCCCCAGTCCAAGAGATAGTCAGATAGATAATCAAGACACACTCATTCAGAATCATAAAATATGGTTAAATACTATAGGGTTGATGAATTTTTGACAGGCAGGCTCACTGATGTTGGGGGTTTGAATGTTTGAGTAGTGTTGGCTACGCTCTTCCGCCCAGAGCACAGTTAGCTCGTTTACATGAGAAGTCTTGCAAACAAAGTACAGAGATTGCAAACAGGCCTTGATTTTCCTCAAATGTAGAAGTACTACTGCCCTTTTTTCAGTATGCCAGTTCTTTTCACTTTTTGCTTTCGTTGCTGACATTAGCTATTAAAGGTTCTATCTAAGACTTAATTATAAGAAATTTGAAATGTGATTAAACTGTGTGGGGACAAGTAGAGAGTGGTGGAAGCTTTTTGGGGGATGATTCAGCTTTGGATCTGGTAGACAGAGGAGTTTCAGTGTGGAAGAAATTATACAGGTTAGAGCACTGTTTCATTAAATGTGAACATGAAACTTCTAAGTAAGCATTTATTAAGATGGATTCTGTATGGCATTTCAGCCAGCTCAATTCTATATTTGATAAGACTTTTATTAACAGAAAGTTTTTTGTTTTGTTTTATTTTGTTTCATTTTTTTGGATGTAGGAGAATTCATCTGTATATAAAGACTTGACTGGGAGTTTTGTAACAATTTTGAAGCAAGTAGTTGGAGGAAAGCTCCCAGTAGATTTCAATTACCACAGTGTGCCAGCACCATGGTTACAAATTCAGCTCTTGAGAATACTAGGACTTCTAGGAAAAGACGATCCAAGGTAAACTATTCTAAGTAAGTTGGACAGCCTTATGCCTCAGTCACTTAGAGGTTTCATGATAAACCAGATTCTCCCAATGCTTAGTTGGCTTAATAGTGATACATAAACCACTGTAAAAAGTATATAAACTCAGGTTGCTGGGATAATCTGGCTTTCTGCTTATCTAAATCCTTCTCCTAATGAAAGGTACCTCTGAAGCTCCATGTCTTCTGTGAAGCTTTCTTAATCATTCTAGTTTAGGAGTTGAGAAACTTTTTCTGTAAAGGGCCAGATAATAAATGTTTTAGGCTTTGGGGGCTCTATGTTGTCTATTGCAGCCATTCAATTCTACTCTTGTATAGCTCAAAAGCAGCCATAGGGGCTGGCCCCATGGCTTGGCGGTTGGGTGCGCGCGCTCCGCTGCTGGCAGCCCGGGTTCGAATCCCGGGCGTGCACCGGCGCGCCGCTTCTCCGGCCATGCTGAGGCAGCGTCCCACATACAGCAACTAGAAGGATGTGCAACTATGACATACAACTATCTACTGGGGCTTTGGGGGAAAAAAAATAAAATTAAAAAAAAAAAAGCAGCCATAGACAGCGTGTAAATGAATGAGCACAGCTGTATTCCCAGAAAACTTTTTATGGACATTAAAACTTGAATTTCATGTAATTGTTGTGTGTCATGAAATATTATTCTTTTGATTTTTTTCCCAACCATTTAAAAATGTAAAAACCATCCTTAGCCTGCAGCCATACAAAAACAGACATCTGGCCAGGTTAGGCCTGTGGACTAGAGTTTGCTGACCCTTGCTCTAGTTGGATGTGAGCACTTCACCTTCTTAATTCATTTGTCTGAATTACTCTTTTAGCCAGTATGTTAAACTTTTTATGGATATCTTTCCAGTTATATATATTTTTTGTAACTTTTTATTTTGCCATAGTTTTTCAAACTTACAGAAATCTTCCAAGAATAGTGCACGGAGCTCCCTTCTACCCTTTACCTAGATTCCTCAATTATTTGCATTTACTTTATCATTCTTTCTCTCTCTGTATGTGCATGTGTGCCCACATATTTTTATTTAAAAATTTTTTTCTGAATGATTTGAGAGCAAGTCCAGTTAGATGTTAGTTCCAATGAGAGCAAGGACCATGCTTGAGTCCCTGATGTATTTCTGTTTTGAGAAAATATTTGCTAATCACTGTTCTTTTTTAATGAGATATGGTTCTCTTTTATGCAATAGGGTGCATTTATATTCAGATTCTTTAGCCTAGCTTACGAAGGGAGTGTCCTTTAGGCTGTTGCTCCTAGTAATGCCTTGTCAGTGTCACGTCAGCATCCATCTTGATGTGAGCTCCTCATGAACTCTAACTGGGCTGTATTGTTTTTGGTGTTGCTATTTTACTTTTTTGTTTATGAATCTCAATCCTGATTGAAACCTAGGGTGAAAACCTGGAGGTGATGGAGCAGACATATGCATTAGAAATGTTTGTTCTAATTACGTTTTATTTTATATGACCCAACTTATCCTATTGTGGAGCTTTAGTTGGAGTTCACTGGAATTCTGTTTTAAAACCATGAATTTTATAGTAATAAAATTACTATAAAGCATCCAGACCTCACAGGTCTAAAAAGGTTTAATGCAATCATGTGTTGTCAGGAAGTAGCTTTGGAGGCGTTTGGTGAATTTACTAAATTCATTAACCCGTTATCTTCCTTTCTTCTTTCCTTCATGGATGAATTTGGAGAATGCATACAAAGATGAGTAAGAGAGTGCTTTGCTTACCTTCAGAGAGCTCAGTTGAATGGAAATTAGGGTCAATTAAATGAATAAATAGTGGAACTCTTTTATAATGTTGTAAAATATTAGAACATTTTCTCCTGTGTTGTCCCAACTCTACTGAGATTTTATGTTCACATAGATCATAAGACACGATTAGCTCAATGTGGCAAAGTAAAAATGTAGTTATTTCATAACAGGATTCTAATGTATTTAGTTAAAAGAATTAATTTACTGGAAAAGTCTTCTAATATTTATGTCTTTTATATCTATTGTTTGAATATTTTCATGTATTTTATAGCATTTCGCTTCTTAGGTTATTAACATTTAGCTTGATCATGTCTGTAAATGTTTCTGCATTTCATATGGTTAATTATGACTGTTATGCCAGACATTCGCTTTTATTTATTTATTTTTTTGGTAAGGAAGATCAGCCCTGTGCTAACATCTGCCAATCCTCCTGTTTTTTTGCTGAGGAAGACTGGCCCTGGGCTAACATCCATGCCCATCTTCCTCCACTTTATATGGGGCGCCGCCACAGCATGGCTTGCCAAGTGGTGCGGCGGTGCGTGCCCGGGATCCGAACCGGCGAACCCCGGCCCGCTGCAGCAGAGTACGCGCACTTAACCGCTTGCGCCACCGGGCGGGCCCAGACATTCGCTTTTAAAATTGGGAAACTAGGGCCTGCCCGGTGGCGCAAGCGGTTAAATGCGCGCGCTCCGCTGCGGCAGCCCGGGGTTCGCCGGTTCGGATCCTGGATGTGCAGCAATGCACTGCTTGGCAAGCCATGCTATGGCAGTATACCATATAAAGTGGAGGAAGATGGGCATGGACATTAGCCCAGGGCCAGCCAGTCTTCCTCAGCAAAAAAGGAGAAGGATGGGCATATGTTGGCACAGGGCTGATCTCACACACACAAAAAAATAAATAAAATTGGGAAACTAGACTGTAATCTAGGTGTAGTATTACTAAATTTTTTGTGGGAGGATTTGTAATGTCTGCTATATGGTTATTGTTTGTGGAAGAAATGCTTACACAGTAAAATGAGGGATTTTAGAATATGGTTCTGGATTCTCACTGAAAATTTTTACTTCCGTCAAGGCAAAGTAAAAGTACATGCACTTCAAATTGGATTATATTTGGAAGAAAGAAGAAATTTTCAGAAAAATATGTAACATATATGATATGTAATTTGTATAGCCCCAGATTATTTTGATCTTTTTGTTTGTTTTACAGTGTAGTTTCTCTGCAAGACTACTATTTGTATTCTGTGTTGATGGTAGTTTTTTTTCTATTAGGGCTTTTTGAATTTGTAAAAAATATAAAAATATATAAAAATACCAGTCTAGAAGCCCTAGTTTTCACATTGGCCTCTTGGAGAGGACTTTTCTAGGCCTGTAGGCAAAGTGCCAGGGCTCTACAAAGCGCTGCATTTTCTTACAGTATCTACCTCAACCCACTTACTGTAACTGTAATCAGTGACCATAAAGACATAGGAATGGTACAAATCTGTTAATTCCACAAAATATAATTTCTTTGTATTTAACATAAATGAAAGTTAAAATCTTCTTTCTGAAGAACCTAGTGCTGCTCAAAGACCAGTATTTCAGTATTTTTTTAAAACTATGTTGTTAAACTACAGATAATATACTGTGTGGAATAATCTGGATATGTGAGGTATCACTGTAGTAACTTGAAATAGGCAGAAATATTTTATTACAAAGAATATTATAAAAGGTAGTATGTTCAACCAAACAAAAACCTGATTTGTAAACTAGGTACAGGTTGAGGAAACTGTTGATTGACTTATGTATATCTCTTCATTGACTAGTTAACTTGGATAAAGTGGGAAGTTAAACTCATGAAAAAGAGGAAATGGAATCTTTAAGAAGTGGCATTCCCGTAACTTCATAAAATGAATTTCTTTCACTTCTTTTCTGTAGATCCTCAGTTTTAAAGAGAGAGAAGTTTGAAAAACTATGTTTTATTGGGTTATAATACTGTAATTCTGCAAATAAAATATCTTTTAAACAGGACAAGTGAATTAATGTATGATGTTCTTGATGAATCCTTACGAAGAGCTGAGTTAAATCACAACGTCACATATGGTAGGTAACATAAGTAAATGCTACTCTAATGGGTAATGTTTTTCAGTATTATAGCTAAATCTGTGTTAGAATACTATAAATTTCAGTAGAATTTTATATGTTAATTTTTAAGGTGGTTCTTTGGGTTATTATTTTTCAATGGAAACATTGAATAACTAATAGAAATAATTTGAAATTATGGCATTATTTTAACTGTTGACCTAAATTCATTATTATAATTCTCTCTCTCTTTTTTTTAAGACTTTATTTTTTAAGAGAAATTGTCTCTTTATTGAAAATATTCATCAAGCATCTAATTGACTGTGAAGGTAACCCAGTAGATCTGTTCCATATTTAAGAGACAGATAATAAATAAATAAATCAGTCAACTAGTCGTCAGATATTTCTTAAATTTCTTTTATTTGTCAGGCCGTGTGCAAGGTGCTTGGAATACAGCAGTGAATAAAACAGTATTATCATTGAGCTCACTGACTGGATAGATGGAAAGGGACAGGTGCTGTAAATGTTACAGAGGAGAATTACAGGGTGGTGTGGGAGAATATAGCAGCTAGTCTTAGGTGAGGGGGAGAACAAGGAAAATTTTTCTGAAAAAGTGATATTTAAGAAGACAACTGAAGGATGAGTAGGATATAGATAAGGATATATAGATGTGGAATAACAACATACTATTTTGTGAAAAGACAATAGCTATTTATGTTATATTTAATTTTAAAAAGTAATTTTGTGATAGGAAACAGTAGTAAGTTGGAGGAGGAGGGTGGAGAACTGAGAAAAATAACCAAAAAAACTTCCAATCTGAATAGCCAGGGGGAGGAGCTATTAGTTCTGTATCGATCAGTCTGAGAAAGCTCAGTGAAGAAATTGGGTTATTTGGAGATATTTAAAAGATACAGGAAAACCAGTTTGAATTTTGTATTGCAGAAGAGCAGTAGAAGAGGCATTGAGAGATACAACTCAAATGAGAAGTCGTTACTTAATCTGGTAAAATACCATGAAGTAGGGGATGAAGAGCATTACTTGTTCTTTCAGACAGTGGTGAACTGTGGGTCTTTAAGAACAGTAGTTGTAGAAGTGCGGGGTAGACTAGAGGACAGAAATTGAACTAGTTTACTTGTAATAAAAGTGCTCGACAAAGGTGCAGTAGGGATAAGGAGAAAGGATCGCATGCATAAGACTAGTCTAGGAAGAAAAATGCACATTGTAGTGAATTGGGATAGTAAATTTTGAAGGATAGGTTTATGTTTTGCATGTATAAATGGTAATTAAGGTTATAAGAGTGACTTATTCATTTGTTCAACCAGTATTTATTGAATGCCTACAAAACAAAAACTTGATTTGTAAACTAGGTACAGATTGAGGAAAGAGTTGATTGACTTAGGTATTCCTCCATGCTAAGTGTGGGAGATGAACTGAAGAATAAGGTAGACACAGGCCCTGCCCTTATGAGTGTATAGTATAATGAATAGTTGATATTATCTAGGATCCTGCTATGTAATGAGAAGAATAAGGGGCTAGAGATAAGGATGACCCTTACTAAGGCAGATGGCTTGGCTAGGAGCTGTCAGAAGATCCAGACAAGTGTAGCTAAAGTAAGTTAAGAAGTTTTGCTTGAGGTATAATCAGTGTCTAGGATAAGGCTTTGAAAGGGTCTCAAGGAATTCTGTTTAAAATCAGTTAAGAATCTGCTTTTCTTTTTCTTGCAGAATTTTTTTTTTTGTAATTGACATTTCAGCTTTAATTTTTTTTATTTTTTTGAATAGGTAATATATGCACATGGTTCAAAATTCAAAAGGTACAAAAGGGTATACAGTGAACAGTAAGTGTCCCTTTGACCCTTATCACCCACCACCCAGTTCCCCTTCCTGGAGATAACCACTGTTACTTATTCTTTTTGATTTGGAGAATACTGTATACCCGAGGAAATATTTTTTAATGTTCTCCACTAGGACACCCTTCTTTTATTAAGATTGCTGGAACCAACACAACAATTTGTTTCTTTCTAGGCTGTCAGTCCCGTGTTTCACTTTGTCACAGAAACCTTATAGTTTCTGTTTTTTTGTTTGTTTCCTTTATTCATCTTTCCATTGTTCTGCTTTTTTCCTCATATTTGTATTGATACAGTTTATAGCTTATGTTGATTTTATCAATGGTAGAGTATTCTCTAGTAATCCTAATATAAATATTTTATTTCTTAAGAATATGAATTTTGAATTATAAACTTCATAAGGGCAGGGACTGTGTCTGTCTTACTGGCCAGCATATCCTAGTATCTGGCACTTTGTTAATCAATGAGTAATATACTTTAGTTGAATTAAGGAAGAGAAAGTCATTTTACTTTTATCAGTTATCTGATTGAGTTTCAGTCTTAATACTTTCTAAACCATATTTTTATGAAAGTTCCATTATTATAACTTAGTGTCAAATCAAGAAATAAATCACATCAGAGACATTTATTGAGTATCTACTATGTGCCAGGCATTGTATAAATGATGTAGAGGATATAAAGAAGTATAAAAAGTGATCTTTGCCTTCGAGGAATTTATAATATAATGGAAGCGATAGCTTATTTATGAAAGCATAATACCACTATAAGGCAGAATGCAGAGGGGTAGTACAGGGAATAAATATTACAGGAGTCCAGAGGTGGTGTAGAGATCACTGTGGGCCCTGAGGGTGCCCATAAAGATTTATTGATATAGTAGGACGCTGAAAGGTAGGTAGGATTTAGATAGCCAGAAGGGAATTCAAAGGGGGTTCTAGGCAGAGGGAAGGTGAGAGAAGGTGCAGAAGTGGGGGTGTTTAAAACAGTTGCAGAGAGCAGTGACTCACCAGCCTGAATGGACGATTCATAGTGGGAGCAGTGAAACAGTCATATTTTGGAGGTCCTCTCATGGCAGCCAAATGAGTTTGGATATACTGTATCAGTCTGGAGGTATGGAAGGTTTTTGGGCAGGGAACTGATAAGATGAGAAGGACATTTTTAGTAGACCATTTAGTAAATTGGGAGAATTATGTAAAAAGGACAGAACCATCAAAAGTAGATAGAAGTACTTTTCCCTGTTTTTCCCACTAAGTACAGCTGAAAACTCGACATTATATATGTAAAACAAACAGAAGACTCTGAAAGGGGGAGAAATGGAGGTAGACTGGTTGGGACCTTAGAACTCAAGGAACGACACCATGGTAAGGACTCTAGGTTTTCTTTTTGCCTCATATACCCCAGACTGGGTACTGGAGAGCCAGCAACCTGGAAACACCGATAGGCATGGATAAAAATGCACAAGAAAAGCCTGCTCTCTAGCCAAAGGACCAAGAAGAAAAGGGCAAACTAGCGAGGCAGAAAACTTGTAGACAGTAGCCACTCTGTTCCAGCCAAGCACCACACAGAAAAAACTATGGACCCACCTACAGCAGCAAAGGCTGAGTAGGGAGCCAAGATTTTCAACCTCACCAGGTGTAATGAGGCACTCCAATCCTCCCACTGGGCTGGTGGTGGAGAAGCCCAAGAGGGAAGCTGGAATTTCATCCCTGCCATGTGTTGAGGGGGACCTCCTCCCTTGCATTGTCAGTGGAGATGATGTGGGCAGCCTGAATTTCATATTATCCAGGAGTAGCAAGGAATGAGGTACCCTTCCCCTATTTGCTGGGGTGGTATTAGAGGAAGCCTAGTGGAGAGTCAGGGCTTTCACCACTGGTCAGGGATACTGAGGACACCCCCTCAGTGTCAGTGGAGGCCACGTAAGGAGCAGTAATGAGGTGCTTCTGTCTCTCCCAGGGAGGGTAGTATCAGCAGATACTCCCATCCCCCACTGGGAAGGAACCGGGATCCCCTTTCTCTCCAAATGTCAAAGAAGGGAGTGTGGAGAACCTGGACTTTTACCCTCATTGGGCGGTACCCCCATCTCCCTGCCAGAGTGGTGTCAGTAGATAGAGACAGAACTTATTTAAAATGAAAGTAACGTCTAGTCTGAAGGATAAAGTATCAGGAGAACTTCTTCAAATTTTGTGCATAATGCAACCCCAAATATGATAAAACCACAGTGTCACAAATGTTAGAACGTTGTTAATTTTTAATGTGGTAATTTTTACTTGATAGTATTTTGCTTAGGCCCTGGGTTCCTCTGGGAGAGTAAACGAAGCTCCATGTTGTGTTTTTACATTTAGAAATCCTCAGAGGCACATTTCTTTTAACCACTGCAGAGAGGGGATGGTAGACTGGCTGCTTTTTCATTTATGGACTTATACTCAGATTTTTGTAGAGTTTGAAAATAAAGAGACTTAGCTCTAGGTGGGAAAATAATTTAAAAACCTGTTAAACTCATTTTCAGCTCATAAGCAGCTAATAAGTACAATTTTTGAACTATTAATTTTGCCTGTGCGAGCTTTCAAGAAATCTTATGAGCATCTAAATATACAAGTTTAGATTTTAGATGGGTGATGAGAAGCTTTTGTAGTAAAACAGTTCGATAGCAGGAGAGTTCTGAATGGCAGGAATCCCTACAGGAAAATATGTCAGTTATGATAGAAGATGGAGCAGCATCATTTTAAATCTTACTTAGGACAGTCATGTTAATTCAGTTTTGGCAAACTTTTTCTGAAAAGGAGGCCAGAGTAAACACTTTAGGCTTTGTAGGTTGAATAGGTTTCTGTCATATATTCTCCTTTGATTTTTGTTTGTTTTGTTTTTTACAACCTTTAGAAAGTATAATTGTACACCTGAAACTAATATTATCTCAAAAAAAAAAGAGTAAAAACCATTCTTAGTTCACAGGCATGCAAAAATAGGCTGAGGGCTGGATTTAGAGGTAGTTTGCCTACTCTGCCAATTAATCAGTTGGCCAAGGCTCTCTTTGTTTAGTTCATGAAGTCGTGAAGTCAACTTTTTTCATAGCACAGAGTAAAGACATTTTACAGCACAATATCTAAATATACAAAGTGTCTTTTTAGGTTCAATTAACTTACTTTGTAAGTTTTCCTTTAATTAAAGTCCATTCCCTTCTTAAAGAGAAATTTATATTTCTGATTTCTTTTCTCTGTCTCTCCTTCTACAGAAAGCGTTTATATAAAGCTTTTTACACAAAATTTATGTGTGCATCAATTGATGGGCAACTTCACAGTGTAAAACATAGCTAGTTGAATGTTCAGGATCTATCTTATACACAAAATGTCCGATTGTTATGTTTTAAGCTTTTGGAAATAGAGCAGGAGTGATTCTATCGAGGACACCTGGTATGCTTCAGCTTGTAGTAGAACTGTTTTTTAAGTCTGCTGATTCTGTGCCTCACTTCTTATACTGTGATTCTGTAGGACACACAGGACTTAATGGTGCCTCAGTGATTCTTCTTTACCATGGCAAAGCTCCAGCTCCTTGCCTCATGCTCTTTAAAAGAGTTTAAAAAAAATTTTATCATCCACTTTGATCATCTGTCATAGCTAATCAGATCTTTGACTATATTAGAAAATCAAATTTGAACACTATCAAGACGTTCAATAGGTTGTTGTATATTCTTTGAGTTTAATTTTAAAAAAGTGACTTGAGGATTTTTTGAGTGTGGCTCTGCTATGAAATAAATGCTAAAGCATCCTAAAATGATTATATTGACATAAACCACATTGAAATAAACTACATGTACAGTTTCTGTGTATAAGTAGTAGAAACTGCCTGGGAATAAATTATTTTAAAGCATTCAAGCAGTGTTGGAAATATCTATTTATATAGGAATAATGAATATATTACTTACGTGTCCATTAGAATATGAGCTCCTTGAGGGCAGGGGTTTTTGTCTGTTTTGATCACTGCTGTATCCACATTAGTAGAATAATGCCTGGCATATAGGAGGTGCTTAGTAAATACTTGTTGCATGAATGAATTCTTATCTATTAATATATATAATTCTCTTTAAATTTAAATAGTTACTGTGGTAACGTAATCCTAATAATTGCATAAGCCTGAAAACAGTAAAATGCATATCTTTGAAAATTTCCATAAATAAGATTTTTGACTAAAACTGACCTTCCAATTAGTTTGTTTTGTTTTGAGTTCTACACAAATATGTTCTTTCATTATTCCTTAACATGATCCCTGACATTTTTATATTTTCTCTCTCTAGCTATTCTGTTTGAATGTGTGCATACAGTCTATTCTATTTATCCTAAATCAGAATTACTTGAGAAGGCTGCCAAGTGCGTTGGAAAATTTGTTCTATCACCTAAAATAAATCTCAAATATTTAGGTAAGATGATTGGTTCTTTTGACAGAAATTACAAAGAGCTTTTGAAGTTTGCTGGTTGTTTGTTTCAAGTCACTTTGTATAATGTAATTTTTGTTTCTAGGACTGAAGGCTCTTACCTATGTTATCCAACAGGATCCCACTCTGGCTCTTCAACACCAGATGACAATAATTGAATGCTTAGACCATCCTGATCCTATTATTAAAAGAGAGGTAAACTGGTATTTTGAATAGTGTATGTGAAGTGTTACAATTTTTAAACTTTTTGTTGGTGTTATGGAGAGAGATTAAGTTTGTGGGCAGTGTGTATGTGTATGTATGTGCACACACGTGTATTTTAACTTTTGATTGCATTTTATTCTTTCTACTAAAGTTTAATGAACTTCTCTAAAAAGTACTTGTGTCAGTATCGATAGGAATGGTTTTAAATTATGAGTTGGAGGAGTTAGGTCCAGTTACCTGTATGGATCCATTTATATCTTTTTGGTCTAAAAATTGTATCACTAGGAGACCTGAATTCTATTCCCAGGTCTTCCTATCAGTACAATTTTAAGATGTAATTTATGACCCCACTCAGTCCTGGAAATGCTAAATGTCATGGTGTTAGAGTAGGAAATAAATTTGGTGTAGATTATCTAAAAATATATAATGTCTAGTTTAGCGTCTACAGGGAGCATGTCTGAAGCAGCTTCACAAGTTGAAAGCTGTTGATGAGGGGGACCTATGTATTTATGGATTTTAAATGGAGTTAGGGATTAACTGAAACAGTTTTTTTAAAAAATCTTTCAAAATCTGTTATCCTTTGTACTTGAAGTCCTGGCTGTAAGGATTGAAAAATTATAAAGAGCCCTAAAGATATTTTGAACAAGTTTGACAAGTAGGATACGTGGAAATACTAATAGCTAATATTGTTGATCCTAAAACACCAGTAAGTGATACTTTCTCAGTATTGTCCTTGGTCTCATATTGATTTCTGGGAACTATGATATTTTTAGAACCTTAATGTAGGGCCGTAGAAAGCCAGCCAAATGGAAGCTTACCATGTCTTCCTTCATTTTACTTGAGGCAGCAAGAGGAATATTCCTCAGCACTGAGAAAGTAGGTATAAAACGGTTCCTCTTTGATACCTGAGGTTCTGAAAAGTAGGCCTTGCCAGGCTTTGAAGCACTTGAGCCATTGACTTTTCTCCATCCCTTAGAGGCCATTTGCCCTTAGTTGACAAATCCACTCAAGTGCTATTTTCTGTTGTTTGGGTAGTGTGGAAAGTACAGTTTGCAAGACTAGATTTTTATATACGTATGTATGTGTGTATACACACACACGTGCACATGCACACACACACACAGGCATAAGTAATGTAGGTTTAAGAACCTGTTACATTTTTAGAATATAGATTATAAACCTTTTAAGTGTTTAGTCTTTACACAGCTTGTCATGTAGAAACGTCAGATTGTAATTATCTGTATGAATAGAAGGCTTTTAGACTTTGGAATTGATCATAATTCATTTTTTTGACAATAGTTTTACCTTTCTTAAGTTCTGTTTCAGTTAAAATGTGCATTTCTTGAGCACCTGTTAACTGACTGCCCAGGAGATCTATGTAAAAGTGGAAGAATCAACTGTGTTATAAACCTATATGTTACTGTATTTATTAGTGTTATGCACTAGTTTTATAATACTGTTTCTATTTCTCTTTCTTAAATAGACTCTGGAACTTCTTTACAGAATTACTAATGCACAGAATATAACTGTGATTGTCCAGAAAATGCTTGAGTATTTACATCAGAGCAAAGAAGAGTATATTATCGTCAATTTGGTTGGCAAAATAGCTGAGCTGGCTGAGAAATATCCTTTGTTTGGACCATTACTCATAAAATACCTTTAGTTATACAGTGACTTGAAAGTGATTGGTATAGACATGGTCACTTGCAAGTTGAGTTCAGGAGCCCTGCAATAACTTCTGTTCCTGATAGTCAAGGCTCTTTTGTTGTCAGTAAAAGGAATTTGTGTAGATTTCATAGGGGATGGCTTTTTTTCTGGTTCTTTTCATTTGGTTGGTCAGTATTATGAGCACGAAGATAGAGGAACCTCTGCCTGATTCCCCTTTCAGTCCCTCCTTGTTTTTGACTTTACTTCCTACTCACTTTCTTTCTGAGTAAAAGTTCTTGTTGTTTTGTGGAGTGTTGGGGGGGATTTAGGATGCTAACATTTATCTTTTACACTATTGTTTAACCTGGAAATTAGTTGGGAACTCCATTCACATGTTACTTTTCTTCACATTTGTTTTTTAAAAATCAGAGGAACTTTACAGGTCACAAGGATAGTCCATTCTTCTTAAGATGTCTGTTTAAATCTAAGAAGGAATGATTGAATAATAGTAATCAAATTATCTTGGAAATTGCTTAAGTAGTTTTGCCCTAGCCAGTGCTATAGCTCTGGCCAGCAAAATGGTAGTTCTAGAACTGAAGAGGAACAGATCAGAAAAGAGGTTGAACATCTTGTTCAAGTAGACACACCACAACAATTAGCCTCTTTGAAGTGTATATCATTTTCCATTACAGTCACATGTTGGTTAACAACAGGGATACGTTCTGAGAAATGCATGATTAGGTGAACATCCTAGAGTGTGCTTACACAAACCTAGATGGTATAGTGTACTACACATCTAGGCTATATGGTACTAATCTTATGGGACCACTGTCATATATGCAGTCTGTTGTTGACCAAAACATGGTTATGCAGCACATGACTATATTTATTTGTCCGTAGTTAATTGGAACATTTCTTTCAATTGTTTCGCATTTATTTGTTGGATGCCTATTATATGCAAGGCACGGTGCTAGATAAAGCAACATGAACTCCGTTTATTAAATAAGCTTATACTGAGCACTGTTTTACATAAAACTGGAGTATAGAACAGTTTATTGGCAGAGGTTAACGGTAAAAATGAATTGGGGTTTATTTTTTCAAGGGTTGATACAGAAAGGATAATTTTAGTAAGTGGCATTTAGAAGTGTACTTGTTCTTAACACTGTGGACACATATGCTCCTGATAATGCATGGTTTATTCAGACAATGAATGCTGTGTTTTCAGTGGGAGGAGATGTCATGCATCCTGATATTCCAAATAACTTTCTGAGACTGCTAGCGGAAGGTTAGTGAACTGTTTCGTTCTGTAAAGTAAAGACTTTAAAATGAAATGTTATTATTACAGAGTCGTTAGAGAATTTAGTGGAAATTAAAACGATATATCAATTTCTTTGTAGGTTTTGATGATGAAACAGAAGACCAACAATTAAGGCTTTATGCAGTTCAGTCTTATCTCACTTTACTAGATGTGGAAAATGTGTTCTATCCACAGAGATTTCTTCAAGTTATGAGTTGGGTGAGCAAAGTACATTAAATTGTAAATGTTTGTAACATTATTTTTTATAAAACCAAATACCAACAATGTATTTCCTTCAGAAATCATTCAGTTCTAGTCAGCTAACTCCTTCAGCCGTCAGTCTTTCCCATTGGCTGCCTTCTATCACTCAACTACTTGTCTGTTCATTCTCCTTGCCATCTAACTTGTCTAGTCTTTTAAATACGGGTATTTGTTTAGATATCTCTGTCTACAATGTATTTGTTGTGTTTTCTACGTAAATCTGTATTTGAATATGTGAATACTCATGTGTCTGTGTTATGTTAGTTTTCTATTGCTGCATAATAACGTTACCACAAACTTAGTGCGTAAACAACATAAATTATTATCTCTCAGTTTTTGTGGGCTGGGAGTCCAGGCATGGCTTAACTGGGATCTCTGCTTAGGGTCTCTCAGGGTTGCAATCAAGGTGTCGGCTGGGGCTGCTGCGTCATCTGAAGTTTGACTGGTGAAGGATCTACTTAAAAGCTCATGTGTGGTTGTTGGAAGAAATCAGTTTCCTGCAGCTATAGGACTGAGGGTTTGAGGTTCAGACTGTCCACTATAGGCTGCCCTTAGTTCCTGGAGCTGCCCTCAGTTTCTTGCCATATGGGCCTCCCAACATGGCTGCTAGCTTCATCCAAGCCAGCTAGGGAGATCATCTCTTTGCAAGATGAAGTTCATAATTTTATGTAATATAATCATACATAATTGTGAATATATCCTGTCACCTTACCTTTGTGTATTCTTTCTTGTGCATATGGATGAGTGTTTCTTTAGGGGGAGATTTGGAGAAGTGCAGCTGCTGGGTCATAGGATATGTACATTTTAATAGTTTAGTTTTACCAGATGTTAGCATGTTAACTTAAATTTTACCCAGACTTTTATTTAAGAATGTTTCTTTTCTCATCTACAGAAAAGTTGAAAAACTAGCATAATAAATAAGCCTAAACTTTTTATCTAGATTCCCAGTTAATATTTTTAACCACCTTTGCTTTACCATATCTATGTTTGTATCTATATCTAGGTCTACCTGTATACAGTTTTGTTTTGCTAAGCCATTTAAAGCTAAATTGCAGGGCCGGCCCCGTGGCTTAGTGGTCAAGTGCGTGCGCTCTGCTGCTGGCAGCCTGGGTTCGGATCCCGGGCGTGCACCGACGCACCGCTTCTCCGGCCATGCTGAGGCCGCGTCCCGCATACACCAACTAGAAGGATGTGCAACAATGACATACAACTATCTACTGGGGCTTTGGGGAAAAAAATAAATAAATAAAATTATAAAGTTAAATTGCAGATTTCATGACACTTCACCCATAAAAAGTTCAACATAAATCTCCTAAGAATGACATTGTTCTAGATAACCATAAGACCATTATTACACCTAAGAAATGTAACATTAATTCATTAATATCACCAAATATGCAATCCATATTCAGATTTATCCAGTTGTCCAGAAAATGTCTCTTATGGCTGTTTTTCTGCTCCTGCCAATCCCAGATCCAGTCAGAGTTCACAAATTGCATTTAGTTATGTCTTTTTAGCCTCCTTATTTTATAATGATCCTCAGTTCTTTTTTGTTTTCATGACATTTATTTTTTGGATGAATACTGTTGACTTGTAGAATGTCCAGCATTCTGAATTTGTCTGATTATTTCTGGTTCAGTTAAACGTTTTTAGTAAGAATATTACATCAGCAATATTATATACTTCCCACTGCATCATATCAGGATGCATATAATGTGGGTTTCTCCAATTATTGGTGATTGTAAGTTTCTTTGTTTGGTTAAGATGGTGACCCTCATATCTCTCCATTGTAAAGATGCCCTTCTCCTTAGTAATTTATAACTAATCTGTGAGGCTGTGTGAACATCTTTTCCTCAACTATCTTTCATCAGTGGTTTTAGCACTGATAATCCTTGCCTAAATTGGTTATTGTATTTGATAGCCATTTGTTTTTTTCTTCCATGAATGTAACATGTTACTCCATATATTTAGAATGTTTTTATTTCTTTCTACAGCATACAGATACTGTACATGTTTTGTTAGATTTATACTTATGTATTTCATTTTCTTTAGTGCTGTACTAAATGTATTATATTTTTAATTTTGGTTTCCGTATGTTTATTGCTAGTATATAAGTACAGTGATTTTTGTATTTTGATCTTTGATCCTGCGGTCTTGCTGAACTCACTTATTAATCTAGAATTCTTTTCCTACCTTTCTTGAGACCTTTCTAAGAATTTTTGCATCTCTGTTCCTGAGGGATATTGGTCTGTGTAGTTTTAGAAAAAACTGTAACAGAAAGAAAAAACTAAACAGTAGTTTTTTCTACTTAATCTGTTTGGTTTTTGGTATCAAGGTAATACTGGCTTCCTAAAATGTGTTCAGAGTGTTCTTTCCTCTTCTATTTTCTAGAAAGATTGTGTAGAAGAGTGTTGTTAAGTTTTTAAGTGTTTGAAAATTTCCTGTTATTTTTCCTGTTACTAATTTCTAGTTTGATTCCATTGTCATCAGAGAAAATACTCTATGATTTCAGTTCTTTTAGATTTGTTGAGGTTTGTTTTATGGCCTAAGATACAATCTATCTCGTTGTATGTGCTGTGGGTGCTTGAAAAGAATGGGTGTTCTGCAGTTGTTGGGTGGTGTGTTTTATAAATGTCGATGAAATTATTTTGGTGATAGTGTTGAGAGAAGGGTGTTTAGGTCTCTAACTATGTGGCCGCCTCTGACACTGTGAAAGGGTGGCCTCATTATCGCTCAGCAGTGGTAAAAGTCCTAACTCTCCACTAGGCTTCCCCTGCTACCACCCCAGCAGAGGCGGGGTGGGGGGTACTTCTTTATACATGGGTGGAGGTGAAGTGCAGCCTTCCTACGTGGTCTTCACGGGCACTACTGAGGAGTGGGCCTCTCTACAGCTTGGTGGGGATGAAAGTCTTGGCTCCCCATCCGGTCGTCTCTGTCACCACTCTTGCGGGGGAGTTGGGGCACCTCTCATAGCCTCGTAGGGGTAGAAGGCTTGGCTCTCCACTCCGCCTTTGCTGGTGTGGGTGGGGCTGCAGTTTTTTCTGTGTGGTGCTTGGCCAGAATAGACAGGTTATTATCTAAAAGTTTTCTGTCTTCCTGGCTCTTTGGCTAGAGGGCAGGCTTTTCTTGGTGCTTTTTTGTCTGTGCCCGTTGGTGTTTTCAGGTTGCTGGCTCTCCGGTACCCAGTCTGGGGAATATGAGGCAACAGATAACCAAACCACTGTATTGACCCTTATGTCCCAACATCCCAACATCTGCCTTTTTTTGTCCATCTTTCAGAGTTTTTTATGTGTGTTTTATACTTAACATCAAGGGTTTTTAGGTGTACTTAGCGGGAAGAGTAGGGGAAAAGTGCATCTACTCCATTTTCCTAGAAGCATAAGTCCATTGATTTTTGAACTGGGATTTAGGTTACCTGCTCTTCTAGAGCTACCTTCCATCTTTTATTAAACCACTCAAAACATTATTTTACTATTTAAGGGTTGAGCTTATTTAGTCCTATTTCTTTTTCCTCCTCTCGTTACTAGCTATAAATCTACTCTTGCCTGTCACCTCACCTCCCTCTTTTTTTTTCTTGCTGGTGCCAGTATTACACCAAAGACATGAAAATACTCCATAAATCCCACTTAGGAAAGATCTCACACTCTGTGAATTATCAGTTTATTAATGATTCTTAGACCAATAGGATTATATATCACCTGAATAAGTTAGATGTTAAAAAAAAGGATAAAAAACATAGATTACTTTTCCTCAAAGTCTCTTCTGTGGATCGTCTACATCAGAATCAGCTGATGCTTGTTCAAAATGTATATTTTAGATCCCCACTGCAGACATACTAAATCAGAATATCTGGGGTACAGCCTAGAAATCTGTATTTTTATGAAACACCTCAGGTGACTCTATGCATACTGGCATGTGAGAACCACTCATTTCAATGTGTATTGGAAAATAGTAACAGAATGTGAAAGTGCTTGTAAAAACCAACAACCAGACCTGGAAATTCAGAAGAAACCTAAGTTGTAAAGATACTCTGCTTTATATGTGGTTGATGATAAAGTCGTGGGAACCTTTTTGTATTAAGTTCCAATTCTTGGTATAATTTTGAACCTAAAATGTGTAATTGTGTCTTTATCTAATAGTTTCTTCACCATGAGAATATGTTTAATCTAGATGAAATTCAATCCAGCAGTAGGCACTTTGTTTAGATTTTTGAGTATAGTTTGCTGTATAACTTGGTATTTGTATATAAACATCTCTTTGTTTTGCTCGTAGGTGTTAGGGGAGTATTCTTACCTCTTAGATAAGGAAACGCCAGAGGAAGTTATAACCAAGCTCTACAAGTTACTTATGAATGACTCCGTTTCTTCAGAAACAAAAGCCTGGTTAATTGCCGCTGTGACCAAGTTGACAGCCAAAGCACACTCCTCTAAAATAGTTGAGAGATTAGTCCAGGAATTTACCATATCTTTGGATACTTGTATGAGACAACATGCATTTGAATTAAAACATTTGCATGAGAATGTGGAACTTATGAAGAGCTTGCTTCCAGTTGATAAGAGTTGTGAAGACATGGTGGTAAGACATCTGCATTCCACCTTTTTAAAAATTGCATTGTCTTTAAACAGAATAATTCTTGCATTTTTGTAATATATCAAAATATAGTTTTTGTAGCACTTCAAATGAAGGTTGGAGTTTTTCTCACATTAGTGTGAGAGAGAATTTGAGAGCTTCCATTTGGAAGTGACCCTACATTCCTAATAATCAGGAGTAGAAGATTATCTCTTCTGGAGAACTGCAGTGAAGGGATTTATATTCAGTGACAATCTCTTTTAATATATAATAATTCAAGAATTTTTTAGTTTTATCTCCTTTGAACTTCTCTAATATGTCATTTTATTATTACTCTGTTTTCTTTGAGAATGTAACAAAAAAGTTCTCCATTTTATTTTGTCAATCTGCTATCTAAATTCTACACCACTTGGAACCTGATCACCCACCCACCTTTCCTTCTTCCACCTACTTTCAGCCGCCACCTCTTTTAACCCAGAGCGCTCAGTTACTACTCACCCTCCAAATTCGTACCAGTCTCTTCCTCAGATTGGTGTAAATCAGAAAACTTCCAAAAGGAAACTAGATTTGTTCAAATTTTTATGTTAGTTGTCATATAGTTGAGAAAGAGGAGAAGATGGGCAGTATTCCCACATTCTGACTCAGATTTTCGTGGCTTGTATTCATTTTGAACATTTGTTCATTAGTTCTTTAAATAGCTCCTCAGTGGCAGAGGTCTTGCTTTAATATTTGGTAGGCATTTCAGAGACGTTCATTGAAATGATGAATAAATATGGTATACGTAGTATTAAATTAGGAAGTAACTGCACTTCCCCTTTCCTCCAATAAAAGATAATGATGATGACATAGCTTCATCTCTTAAGAATGTTATTGAAACTAAACCTTTCCAAATTCAGAGTGTGACATGCCACTTAAATATTTGAGAGTTAACTTGCTGTTCTAAATTATCTGAGTGGTTTGCATACCCTTGGCTAAATCAGGAGAGGCAAGTCTGTGGTTTCTGAGGTCATCACTGCTTATCCTCTTGTGTATATCTCATTTTTCTTTCTCTCCTCACTTTTTCTTTTCTCCTTTTCCCTTATTCTCTCTTCATTTCTTATTTCTTTTTATTTACTCATTTTCTTATACCTTTCTATTCCTGCTAAAATTAAGTAATTTTCCATAGATTTGTGAAAAAGCATTTTCAGGTGGAAGGGATTAGGTAGTTAAATCAAAGACACTGAGGGAGGCTGAATAACGGCCCCCTCAAGACGTCCACATCTTAATCCCTGGAGCTTGTAGGTGTGTTACCTTACATGGTAAAAGGGACTTTGTAGATGTGATTAAATTAAAGATTTTGTGATGGGGAGGTTATCCTGGATTATCCAAGTAGGCAGGATATAATCACAAGGATCCTTATAAAAGTGAGGCAATGGGTCAGAGAGGAGAAGGCAGAGTAACAATAGAAGCAGAGATTGGAGTGATGTGGCCACAAGCCAAGGAATGCTGGCAGCCTCTAGAAGCTGGAAGAGACAAGGAACTTATTCTCCCCTGGAGCCTCCAGAAGAAACTAGCCTTGCCAACACCTTGTTTTTAGCCCCCAGCAGCAGGAAATGAATACAGACACTGTAGCTCATAGTGTATGTCTTCTCCTCTAGTAGGTTACAAGTCTAATGAGGGTAGGAAATGTGTGAAGACTCAATCATGGCACCTAACATGATGCCCTAACATATTGGGTGCTCAAAAATGTGTTCTGAATGCAATGAAATTAATAATAACTGCAAATGTCTTGCACTGTTAGAGTCTTAGCTGATTGATTTGATAATAGATGTTTCAGAAAGCTAGGGAGTTGGATAGCACTTTTAGAATTAAAGTTCTGTTTTTCACTTAAAAATTATTTTTAGGATGTATGGGCCGAAATTACTTACGTGAATGTATAGTCTACTGTTTAGGGTAGATTTTTTTAATTCCTAATTTTTGCTTCATTTTAATACAGGTAGATGCTTCCTTATCTTTTCTGGATGGTTTTGTGGCTGAAGAACTCAGTCAGGGGGCAGCACCTTACAAACCTCCCCACCAACGGCAGGAGGAAAAGCTTTCTCAGGAAAAAGGTAATATTTCATGGGTGTATAATAAACTAGATTGTAGGGACATCATTTTTTAATGCAACAGATATTATAGTCATGTAAGTAAATAACTGAGGATATTTACTTTTATAATCCTTCTTTAAATCTGCTTGTGGCTTATTTACCCTGACTAGGTTTTTTGGATACCTAGAAGAAAAAAGTTAGCCTAGAGGTATTGCCAAAGTCATAGGCTCTGTATACGTAAGTGCCTAAGCTATGACAGACATCCTGGAATTTTGAAAGAACGTGAAGGTGGAATTATTATGTTGGTCACTGTGCTAGAGGGCTGACAGATATTAGTGTGAGTGTATCTGTGGAAAAGTTTCAGAAAAAACTCTGGTTACTCTGGACTAGTGAGTTTCATTTTCATTCTGAGCAGTCATGTATATCTTAAGTATTTTAGACTGCTTCCTCTGGCAAAATATCTGATCAGTGAAATTAGGAAAGCTAAGAAAGGAAAGCATAACTTTACATTTAAAAAATGTAGCCTGTCAGGGGAAGACTTCTGTCATGATTTTGATAGAGAGAAAATAATTGAGATATTTGGATGGTGGATGGGAAGTATGTATATGAATAAAGGGAGACCACTGAATATTATCTATATAGGAGTTCACAATGTTAATACTGAAAAGTTCAATGTTGAAAGGTCTTTTTTTTCTATTCATCATTTAATGATTTTGTTGAGTACTTATTTTCCAGGCTTTCTGCTAGGCATATGAAGACAACTAAATAGTTGATCCTAAAATGAGACCAAAAGGTATAAACACCAATAATAGGCATGATGTTATCTTTTTGCAGAAGTATTTGTTCTTTTAAGATTTTTGACATATTATGTAGCACAGTGATACCTAATGGCCTGGAAAATTCAGTTTTCTTTCAAAGGGTAATCAGTTTCCTTCCCATTAACTCCTCATATATTGATAGAATATGTGGGGGAAAAAATAAAGTTTTGAATTACAATTGCCCGACCTGTGACTGTAGTGCATGTAGAGGCCTTATGACATCCAGGGCATGGAGTGAAAATCTGGAGTTCTGGAGTGGGAGACATGGTCCAATTGCCATATTTCCTTATTTTCAAATGTCTGGGGGCTGTCAGTTGCTATTGTTGCAATTCAAGGGTAGGGTAGGGAAGGGGAGGTAGGACAAGGAGCCTAATTCCTGGCACTGCTTGTCTTCATTCTTAAAATAAGTTAAGTGGCTGACGAAAATATAATAGATAGCCCTGGAATTCCCCAAGCTAATGCATTCCTTTCCCAAGTACATTTTTTTCCGTAGAACCATCATTATAAATGGGCTTTAAGCTCTCAAATTAGGCTCTTCCCCTCTCCTCCCAAATCTATTTTTCAAAAGTTCTCTAAAATAAATTGAAATTTCATGAGCTTAGAAGATATGACTTAGGAGATATAACTAAGATATAAGCTTAGGAGATATAATTTCTGTTATATCATGGAAAAGAAAATCAGTTAAGAGACAGGACATAGCAAGTGCTTAATAAATACTTGAGGAATGTTATAAAATTATATATCTTAGAATTGGACTGGCTATTAGAAGATAAAGACTAGGGGAAAAATAAGTATTTACTGCCTAAAAAGTTGTTAATTCTGGAAGTATCAATCAGTTCAAGTATCAGTCAGTTTTGATAGGGATCTTACTTGAGATTTTTATAAAGCATTTTCAGAGAGTTGTAGTTAAATGCTACTTTTATGAATGATACTTAGAGGAATTGGCAAAAATAGATGGGATGGTGGGAAACAAATTTTTGTTACCAGTTCCCACTCAGGAAAAGCATTTAGGCATCAGTGTGGATTACTATTAAAACATTATTTGAGTATATTGTAGCCTCAGTGTTGGATAAAATCAGAAGTAGTAAAGGGAAATAGCAGTGTAATCTCCTGTCTACAAAACCATGGCTTTTAGAAAACCAAGTCAAGTTGAGATTGTCAGTCTCTCAAAAAACAAAATTAAAAAAATAACAGCTGGGGATGGTCAGAGAAGTATAGCCAAGTGATCAAGGTATAAAAGAACTGCAGTACAAGGTAAGATAAAGAAGAAGTGTGCTTATATAGTCATGAAGGATGCCAACAGGTTAAATATCGAATTACTAATTCCAGGGATGGTTTATATTTTATCTCTCACCTGGATTACTTTCAATAACTCACAACTCCCAAGGACTCTCTCTGCCTCTAGCTCATGTTTTCTTTTCTGCATGAATTGCCCTTTGCCCTCATTCTTCATCTGGTTAACTTCTTTGTATTCATTAAATTGCAGTTTAGCCATCTTCTTCCTTCTCCTGACTCCTTCCTCATACTACTATCCTCCTCCAGCTCCCCACACGCACAGCTCTTGCACATCTAGTTAACTCCTAAAAATCTTTGACCCTTCTAGTCATTCATCTCTGTAAGGATCTTGGGAAATTTTCACTAAAGAATGAAAATAATGTGGTTTGAACTTCATTCTCAAGCCTTTCCAGACCTTCCTTCAATGACAATTTTTAATTCTTTTGTCTCAGGATCAGATTTCATCTGACTGTTCTCCAGATACTGTCCCTTTCCATGTCTAGTCTTTTTCTCTCTACTTTCAAACTCTCTACCTCTAATTTTGAATTCTTTCTGCTCTTTGCTTAAACTCTTTATCTTTAGTTGCTCCTTGCCTTAAGCTCTGTCTTTTTTTTTGGTGAGGAAGATCAGCCCTGAGCTAACATCCATGCCAATCCTCCTCTTTTGCTGAGGAAGACTGGCCCTGGGCTAACATCCGTGCCCATCTTCCTCTACTTTATATGGGATGCCGCCACAGCATGGCCTGACAAGCAGTGCATCAGTGCACGCCCGGGATCCGAACCCGGGCCGCCAGCAGCAGAGCGGGCGCACTTAACCACTACGCCACGGGACCGGCCCCTAAAGTCTTTGTCTTTACTTGTGCATAGGAGACATTTCTTGAGCTATTCACTGTTACTGTAAGTGTTAATGCAGAGGCTGGATGACTGACTGTCACAGATACTATTAGAAAGAGGCCAATATGGGATAGAAGGTCAAACTAGATGATTGAAAAGCTTAAAAAGAGAGGATATTCTAGCTGAAAAGAACCTTAGAAAGATTTAGACAAGTGGTTTCCAAACATGATTATGAATCAGAATCACAAAGAGAGTTTTTAAAAATGATACAGATTTTTGAACCCTGCTCCTATACCTTCTGTACCTGAATCTCTGGAAGTTTGGCTGTATTTATAAAAAGGTCCATGGGAGATTCTATGAAGTCAGCTTGATCCTGGTTATCAAATCAGCATTTGGAAACTGCTGATCTAGTCTGAACCCTTCACTTTATAAAGAAATTAAGGTCTAGTTCATACACCTAGTTAACATGTGACCTACATTAACAACTCAATTCTCTTGATTATTAACTAGCCCATTATTTTTTTCTACTGCGCATTGATTCCTCTTCTGTATCATTCATTTAGCTAACAAACAAGTATTTATTTAGTACTCTTAGGATTAGGTGCTGTTTCCTTGGGAGGAGGCAGTATAACATAATAGTTGAGAGTGCAGCTCTGGAACCAGAGTATCCAATTTTTTATCGGCTCTATCATTTTCTATCTTTGTAATCTTGGGTATGTTCATGGCAAACTCTTTGCCACAGTTTCGTCATTTGTAAAATGAGGATAATAATTACAGAAGTTCACATTTATATTTTCTAAGATACTTTTTGTGATTTAAGAAGATCCTTTGTATTATAATCCAGACAGTCCAAAAAGATAAATGTACCGGTTAGATTAGGTTTAGTTAAATAGCATATTAGAAAACAAACAAAGTGGGGCCTATACAAGGCAGATGGTTATTGCTCTTTCCCGTTAAAGAAATCCAGAACTAGGCAGCCTAGGTTTGATGATGGCCTCATGAATATAAAAGAGGAGAGGAGAGAAGAAAGATGTTTTTTCTTTCAGGAGGATTCCTCCCAGAAATTGCTCACAAAATGCGTGCATAATTTCATTGGCCAGAACTCAGTCACATGGCAAAGGAGTCTGGAAATGTCATCTCTTTTCTTGGTGGTCATGTACCCAGCTAAGAATGGAGGGTTCTATTACTTAGAAAGAAGAGGAGAATGGTTATTGGCATCTGCTCTACCACAGTAACAGTATGAATTTTCATGGCTCTGGTTGAATTCATTTGGGTATATAGACTCAAAGGAATCTGAACCTAAGTAAACCTTGTTCTTTGTCAGTAAGAGAGATTTCACATCGAGGGCTCGATCAGTCCATTTGGTACAGGAATGTGCCTAAGAGCATTTTGTTAAGCAAAAACATGGTCCTCTCTTCATTCATAGCTCATTAGACATTTTTGCGTGAAGGCAGCAACTTTTCAGTACACCTGGTTTATCAGTTGTGTTTCGTAATTGAATCCTTTTTTAGCTTCTAAGGGAGGTAAAAAGATAAAAATGAAGGACTGTTTGTCTTTGATCAACTAATAGTATGAAGACTGTAGTAGACGTTCAGTAAATGATAGCTACTTTATTATTATTATTATTATAATAAATATTTGATTATATGGTCTCCAAAGTTCCTTCCAGTTTAAAAATTGTCACTGATTCTAGTCTTCGATTATTTTACTTCAGTAGTGAATGGTAACTTTGATAATTTTTGCTTTTTTCCCATAATTTTTGCTTTGTTTTAAATATGAACCTCTGTTATTGTTTTAAAATTCTAGTTCTCAATTTTGAACCATATGGACTCTCCTTTTCTTCATCTGGCTTCACTGGACGACAATCTCCAGCTGGCATTTCTCTTGGTTCAGATATATCTGGGAATAGTGCAGAGACAGGGCTGAAAGAGTAAGTTCCTTTCTTATTAAAATTGAGAACATGGGAGTGTTTAAATGTCTTTAAATGTAGAAGAGTTCCTGAAAGCTAAATTCCGCGTGGGCTGTTGTTTCAGTTGTTTCTATTTATTGCCCTTCAGATGTTGATACTGTATAGTCTGTCCTTATACTTTAAGAGAGCTTGCTTACTTCCAAGACAGCATAGGATATATACAAGCTTACACATAGTAATGATGTGTGTGTTATTACTGCATATTTTATGTATATGTGTATAAATATATATACATACACATACACATCTATATATATACATTTTTTAAAGAAATATATCAGAACTTATATACCCAGGTGAGTATTCAGCATATCATTTTACATTCCTCATAATCTACTTCTTATAACCACCTTATTGGAAGATTGACAGTACAGAGATGAACGTAAAATAAGGAGACTGACTTCACTTGAGGAAGCTCTACACTTTGCTCAAAATGCTTTCAGAGCTTCTTTCCAGCCACCTAGAAAATTGGTGATATGTTTTCCTAAGTATCTTACATACAGCCAAATCTTCATCCTTTTTAGGTAGATTTTGATTTTGGAAATATAAATAAATAAATTTTAGTAACATGATTAAGTTAATAAAATGAGATAATGAATATAAATTGCCTCATACAACTCAGTACATAGTAAATGATTGATAAATAGTAGCTGCTATTATTAATAATCATTGTCATTGCCATCATTATCCAAAAGCTGAGTTTACCAGGTAAAATTAGTGATCAATCTGGATAACTTTGGTCAATACTGTACTGATATGACATAAAGTAATGAAAATGGCTTTCTTGTTTGTGAAGGAGCTTTTTCTAAAAGAGTTAAATATGTTTTGAGAAATGGCAGCATGGTTGGAATAAATGTGATAAAATCTCAAAAAGGTGTCAACTTTGAAAGATGCCATTTGAATTTTGAGTTCTCATGTGTTCATTAAGGAGGTAGTTTTCTTATTTTATGTTCATCTTTGCATTTGTCAGTCTTCCAATGAGATGGTTATAGGAAGTATTTATTAGATGAATGACACACAGATTATGAGGAATGTAAAATGATATGTCGAATGAAATGGTATAAGTTCAAATTCTCTTTCTTAGTCTTTTTTTTCCTGCCCTGTTGACACCTTTTTCTTTCCCAAACATTTGATTGTGGTATTCCAAGCATGAGGAGCAGATATGGTTTGTGGGCATGTGATGGTCGAGGTGAGAGCAATTCAGTGCCCCAAATGGAACAGAGCAGAGGGGCAAGGGAAGGAGAGACAGGAATGCTCCAAACCCAGGAAGGAAGCTTAGACAGTTCCTTTTACCTGCACAACAGGTGACAGCATCTGGTTTTTTGGTATTGAACTAGGATCTGGGCGACTTGACAAGGCCTTATAAATCCTATACATGTACATGTACTACTCTCAGAGAAGTGACATTTGGCAGAGCTGCTAAGGAGTTATACATATGCTGTATTATCATGAAATGGAGCATGAAGGATGAATTTAAAATTTCTTTCCAAAGAGGACCACAGCTCACACATATTTCATATTAGGAACCTGTGTGGTAATTGGCAAGGTGAATTAGCTTTAGAGAGGAGACAGTTGCTCTTCTGTAGTCTTTGGTAAACTGAGAATAAAGTAGTAGCAAGCCCAATTTAGAATTTCTTACTTTAAGCCCTATTATGGGGCAGCACCCTACCTCAAAAAGGAATTCCTAGAGCTGGATTAAAGTATATCCCTAATCTTTTGAAGATTGCTTGGCCAAATTTACATCTGTGTTTGAATGGTCTGATTAAAAACATTACAAAGGTATACCATATAAAACCATGAATTATATTATCATTGTCAAAATCCAGGCAAAGATGACTCATGTTTAAAAAAATTCTTTTACCATGTGTTTTATATCATAAAGTAGTGTATTTTGTGTATGAAATGGCCTTATGCTGCTCTTTCATGTATTTTCCTGCTTTTTAGGCTGTTTATATGTAATGCATGACAAGAAAATTTATGTTGATAATAGGCATGTATGCAGATGAAATAAGCCAGAAAAATCTTTAAAGTAGCTGGAAGCTCCTTTTAGGCTTATTTTTCCTCCCCTTTCCCATTTTTCCTGTTGTTGTGGGTTGGGTTCCCTGGGAAGCGCATTCTGTGGTGGAATTTAGCAGGTAGAATATTAAGGAGTGCCCTTGGGATCAACACCTGTGGCAGGAAGGGGAAAGAAGCAGGTTTGGGCAGAGGGAGAAGTTAAGATGCGATGCAGTGCTATTGTCAGCTTCTGCCAACCCTATGGGGAGCTCTAAAGCTAGAATGGCCCTTCACAGTTGTCCTGAGTTGGTCCAAAATGGTTGGCCAGGACTCTGTACTTCTGTTCATCAGTCACTGAATGTGGGCTGCCCCGGGAAGGGGTGTGATCTCGGGTGAGGTGGCCCTCTGCAGCTGAGGCAATTCCTGATGGGGCTGCACTCCCAACAGCTGGGGCAAGATGTCCTTCATCGAAGGGGGATCTAGATGGAGCATCCCAGTGTCTACTACACCTGCCTTTTTTTGTTAAACTAATAGTTGAATCATTTATTAGTGAAACTTGGGGAGCTGCTTTTTTTTTTTCCTTAATAATTAAAGGATATGTTTTGGTAAACAGGTTTACAGAAACACTGTAATCCTTCTGTGTATCCCTTTTAGTTGCTGCTGTTGAGCATCCTAGAGATGCCAGGGATCATTTTAGTGGTTCCCATGACTACTTTTGGATCTGCTCATGCAAGGACAATCAGTTTTCTTCTAAGAGGTTTGATAGATAACTAACAGTTTTTGTTTTTTTAAAAACTTTTTAGAAAACTCTTTTGGTACCTGAAAGAAAGGGAGAAATGAAGACATTTATAAAGAAACATTCCGAAGTAAAATTGATTGAGGAGGAATGGACTAATTCCCTGTAGGGTGTTCTTTATTAATATTCAGATTTTCTTTCAGCCAATTAGTACTTAATAGCATCAGTTCTTCACTCAGTATGAAGTATAACTACCTGTTTTTGTTTCTGGCATAGTATAGAAAGTCAAATTGTTCATTATTCCAATAAATTAGAAGAGAATAGTAATCAGTGCAGATATTTCTGAGTCTTTCTTTTAGATTCATCTCATGATCTGCTGCCTATCTTATAGTACAAATTTTAAAAATGCTATTTTGGACTATGACAGGGTTGCTTAAATGAGTCAAGTGCCAAGGACACATAGTTCTTATATGAAAACAATAGAGGCAGTCTTTGGCTGTTTCAGCCTGCACTTATGACTATATTAGTCACTCCAGATTCGCAGGTGTAACTTTTGGGACAATAGTAGGTGAGTTCAAATTCTAATCACTGCTTTAATTCTTCTTCAACTCAGGTATAAAAACTCTTAACCTTCATGCTTTTTCCAGAAATCTTAGTGTTTTCTTTTATAGATCAAACCTTATTTCATTTTAATAAAATTACATTTATAATAGTTGAAAATCTAGCTAGTGTTCACATTAAGAAAACCTTTTGGATTAAAGGTAAATTTACACATAGTAGTGGATTTGAATGATTTCTTTTGCTTTCAATAGTGTTTTATTTAGTGAATTTTTAGGGTTTAGTGAATACGTAGGGTTAATTCCTTTGTTGAGTGATTATAGCTCAGAAACTTGAGTCGTTTCTGATCTGTAATGCATTAAGAATTAAAGATAAGATATTTTTGAAAAATCAATGGGGGAAAGGATCTGATTTACAGTAGTTCTATTTTTAGACAACTTATTCAAGCAACTAAATGAAAGTTAAATGATCTGAAATTTTTAACTAAGTCTAGAGTTTTGTTGCCTTAAATCCTTTGGCTGAAGGGTGGAGGGAGGTTGGCTATAACTAAAATAAAATCTAGAGATCTAGGTTTTACTGCTGGCCTATAGGATATAATGTGAAAGCTGTTTGGAAAAAACCATGGCAATGATATGTTTTAAAAAATGCCTCAAGAAAGTAACTGTTTAGCAGTTATTTAAATTGACCAGATTTTATTATCAATCTCCTTAGGACAAATAGCTTGAAACTAGAAGGTATAAAGAAATTGTGGGGGAAAGAGGGCTATCTTCCCAAGAAGGAAAGCAAAACTGGTGATGAAACTGAAGCTTCACCTGTACCTCAAGAAAGTATGAAAATGGAGAATGCAGATCAAACTGTAACAAAAAAGGATCAATCTCAAGTCCTCACCCAATCTAAAGAGGAGAAAGAAAAGCAGCTGTTGGCATCATCATTATTTGTTGGGCTCGGATCAGAAAGTACAATCAATTTGGTAAGTAATCGGTTATATTACTCTGAGAATCTGTGTCCCCTGTTTTGTACAAAAAAAATGGCTCTACAAAAGCTCTTTGCTGTCGTTTATACACGTGGTGGGAAGTGGCTTCCCCAGCTCCAGAGCCACCAGCGACACACCTTTTATATTCTTGAAAGGGGAAATCTGATGGCTCAGCTCGAGTCAGGTGTTCTTTTTAGTCCAGTCAGCTAGGACAAGGGTCAAGGTCCAAATACAGTTCCAAATATGACCATGGGTATTCTTACCCCTGTGGGTGCCGTAGGACAGATCTTGGTGGAAAGGGGGCTTAATGACTCCTTGTCAGTAATAATAGTTGAACAATGTTGATATGTCTATGGAAAAAGTTCTTCTCAAAATGGCATTTTTAACAGTGAAAAACAGGAATCAATTTACATGTCTAACAGTAGGAGAATGGGTACATAAATTCTATTAGCTCAGAATATTACCCAGCCATTAAAATTGATAAAATACTGCATTGTAAAATAAAAAGATACTTATGATATATTAGGCACAAAAAGCAGAATATAAAGTTTTATTTACACCTTGTTTATTACTGTTAAGAAGAGAAAAGTGTGTTGAGACTGAAAGGAATTACACAAAAGTGAAAATTATATTCAGGCATTACAGTTATGATGATTTTCAAAACTTTTTATGCTGATATATTGTTCTCAGTAAAAGAGTGAAAAATTGGAGTGAAGGACAGGTGCTGTTTTTGAGCATCTGAGAATTCCATGTAATTTACTGTTCGATGGGCTGATGAACCTACCTAGAGCAAAACTGTGACTAGAGCTGCATTTTCTTTGGTTTTGCATCAGCCCAGTTCTTTCATCCTTCTTCTCCCTTGGGGGGATTTTCCCTCCATTTCTGTCAACACTAGGCCAGACTCTAGGCTATACTCTGCCTGTATCTCTGTGTTTTCCAGACCCAGTTTCTGTCAGACTTGATATTCTCTCCTAAGAAAAAACAAATTCAGCCTAAAAGTATTTGTAAGTAACGTATCTTAATGCTGTCTCAGTCAGCATTTGCAGTTCAGCAGCAAAGTGACTGATCTTGGGTCTTTGAGTTGTTCCAGCAGGCTGTGGTGAAGGTGCCAGTGGATGCTCTGGCACTGCTGGGGCAAGTTCTCAGCCATCAGAGCTCACCCAGGTCAGAGTGCGCCCAGGCTTATGGAGCCCTGATTTGTGAACCTCATTGCTGGCATTGAAGGATTCCTGCTTCTGAGCAAAGTGCATAGGTTTCAGTTAGTCTTTCTCCAGAGAACATTGAGGGTGACAAATTAATTATCAAACTTTTTTGTAGTGGGCTTGAAATCAGAAATATAATTAAGAAGTTTTTCTATTTAAGTTATGCTGAATCCATTTGGGTTACCCCTTATATTTTTCTTTTCCCCTCAGCTATTACTAGAATAGTTTTTTTAAAAAAGGGGGAGTGTATTTCCCTGTTTTATGGGACTCTGAATTCTGTGAGGAACTGTGTTGTAGCTCAGAAGGCATCATGCAGAAAGGAGGGGAAGCAAATGATTAATAAAATTAGCATGTATCCTCTCTCCCCTCAACCCCAACTTTTCATCTGTCACTAGGGCAGAGCACACAGGATTGGCACTGAGTGGATATGCTCCGTCTTTTAGATGGCTGTTTTTCTCCAGCGATCCTATTCCCTTACAATTTTTCTAATGTTTAAGGTTCTCAATTACATGGATCAAGGCTACATTGATGTATTTCATTTTAACTATCTTTTATTTTTAGGTCTGTGGTCCATTTTGAGTTAATTTGTTTTACATAGTTCACTGTAAGGGGCAAGGTTGTTTTTACCCCCCACCTTCGCCTTTTATTTTACCTTCATTTTTACAAGACATTTTCTCTGAGTAATGAATTCTAGGTTGACTGTTTTCTTTAATTGGTTTAACAAAGATGTCAGTCCTGTGTTTTCTGGCTTGTGTAGCTTCTGATCAATAGCAGATTAGACATTGCAGAAGAAAAGATCATTCAACTTGAAGACAAAGTAATAGAAACTATCCAAAATGAAATACAGAAAGAAAGAAAAGACAAAACAAAAAAACCAAACAAATGGCAAATCCAGAGCATCAGTGACCTGAGGAACAATATTGAGCAGTCTAATATAAGTCTAGTTCGAATCCCATGGGCACTGGAAGTGGAAGTCCTTCACCCACTTTTCCCCCTCCTTCACTTGGTTTCATTTTTGTGTTAATAGAGTTTTACTTCTAGTTTGGACTTCTGAATTGAAAGGTAGGAGGCAAACTCATCTGCTGAGAGTTGGAAGAGATGTTGGGACTTGAGGGAATGAGAGGGTATGAAAAGGGAACTAGAATTCTGGTTAACTAGAATCATGTGAAGGGTGGCCGTACAGTGTGAAAGCCCCCAGGAGGCTAGAGACATGAGCTTAGAGTAATACCAGTCTGCTGCACTGGTCTAGACAGAACTTTGTGAGGCAAGGGGACACTTGAGCCATCAGTCTTCTTACATAGATTCGTAGACCATTCGTCAGGAGGGTTGGCTCAAGGGTGGCAAATTTGCCCTTCCCGCCTCCTGAGTCTGTAGCAAACATCACTAGACAGAATTCTTTTCTGCTGTGTGTTCCAGTCAACTACTGCCAGCTGATTCTTGAGGTAAAATCGATTTTTCTTCCCTGTTTATTGACTCACAAGCCATGAAATCATATTATAGATTACTGAACCAGAATTTGAGCCATTCCTGTATTTAAGGGTATCTTAGCTTCTACAGGACAACTCTGGAAACTCAAAAAATGGCTAGGTTTCTCACTTTTTAATTTGTACTCTAGTATTCTGAAATCTAACAAGTTTTTAGAATTGTTCACAATTGACTTTTTGACCTTATTTCTTTTTCTGATTTTATGTGTTTTTAATGAGAAGTAAGATTTAGCTAATAGTTCAAAGTTATGTAGCTGTCAGAATTTTAGGGCTTAACGTTTTATTCATCTCTGATTCTTTGTTAATCTATGTTTTATAGATAAAACCTTAGCGAGTTAGTAAATTGCTCATTTGAAATTATAGAAAAATGTTTAAAACTCATGACTAGTAGAGTGGTTTCTTTTTATATTATGTTTTATTTTTGCAGCTAGGAAAAGCAGATACTGTCTCTCACAAGTTCAGAAGAAAAGCAAAAGTCAAGGAAATCAAAAGTGGAGAAACAACCAATGCTCCTAATATGACTTGTTCTGCCTTTAGTTCTTCTCCAAATGTGACTTATGAAGATTATTATTTGGATGATTTGCAGGATAGAGGAGACAAAGAATTAAAGAAATTTTCTCTCAATTCAGAACTTTTGGATTCTGAGTCACTGACAGAATTGCCCTTGGTTGAAAAACTCTCAAATTGCAGGCTGGCTCCACCTTCTTTGTTTGCTGATAATAACATGGAAGTTTTTCACCCTCTTCAGTCCACTGCAGCCTCAGTTGCCAGTGAAATCTCTTTAGTTTCTTCTTTGTTGGAAGAAACTCCTGAACACATGCATTCAGATCTTATGGAGGTCTGTAATAATGAAACCATATCAGTGACTTCTTACAAGATTTGGAAAGATGATTGTTTATTGATGGTCTGGTCAGTTTCTAATAAGAGTGGTTCAGAATTAAAAAGTGCTAACTTAGAAATTGCTCCTGCAGAAAATTTCAAGGTAAGGCAATAAATGGTTCATTATTTCTGCCTTAAATGGACAATGCTTACTTAGTGTTTCTGCTGTTGGCTCTTCTAATGGTTTATAAATTTCTTCCATATCCTTCTTCACTCTTTAGGAAAAGAAGTAAAAGGTGTGACAGATTTTTTTATTTTGAGTAGGGATGAATTATTCAAAAGAGACAAGGAAACATAATAAAGATTATATTGGGGAAGGCCATAAATATAAAGTGAGTTTCAACAGAGCACAGTAGTTAAGAATGTAGGCTCTTGACTCAGACTGCTTGGCTTTGAATCTTGCATCTGCTGCTTTCGAGCTGTGTTACATGGTCAAGTTACGTAACTGCTCTGTGCCTCTGTTTCCTCCCATTTAAAATGAAGATATTAATAGTATGTGCCTCTGTACTATACTGAGTGCTCAGGCATCAATTCTGTTTCTTCCCTAGCTTCAAGAGACTGCCATTGTGATTTCTGGAAATATGCTAATTGCATTATTGTGTGGGTGTCCTTGGCGAAGTTATAATGAGATTTGACCAGTAGATCAGTATTCCACAAAACTGACCCAGTTTCTTCTGTGAGCTAGAATATGTTGAATGGGATGTTACCAGGGCCTACCCAGGACACAAGTTCCTGACTCTAGGTGTGCATTAGAATCACTTGTGGAACCTAACAGGACAAAGCAAAACAAAACCCAGTCCACTTGCTGGGCTCTGCCACCAGAACTTGAGTAAGGGAGGAAAATGAGAACGGAAGACACCTGTATTTATCTATTTATTTCTAACTCTCCTAGCTTTCAAAATCTGGTGCTAGCTATGATTGAGAGCCACAAGACTAAAGTTTAATAACCTTTTTTTGTTGTTAAATTTTACAGTTTTCATTGTAATGCCATTTGTTACATAATTTTGACTTGTGTACTTATTTCTTAGTTATCTGTGCTAGTGAATTTTTCTCAAGTAAAGTTGTCAGTCATCTTCATAATGTGGTTGGTTATTAACATCTCATAATAGTACGTTTTTGTACCACTTCAATTAAGTAGAAAATTGGTATTCATGTTATAGTCTGTATTGATCTCTTCTTGTGTACTTGTATTACTTTTATTTACAGATCACTGAGCAAGCTGGATGCTGCTTGCCTATAACAGAAGCAGAAAACACCAAAGGCTTTCAATATAGTGTGCAGATGGAAAAGCCTTTTACAGAAGAGAGTCTTTCTGGTTTCATAAATTATCAAATGATGGATACTCCTGTTCAGCTTGAATTTTCAGTAAACTTATCACTATTAGATTTCATTAGGTAAATATTTTCTGGAATGTTAATTCAAGTTATTCATTCATTCAGCAAATATTTATTAGGCCTCTTCTCTGGGCAGAAGCACTATGCTTGGTGCTAGGAAGTATAACAGTTCAAAACTAGATGCAGTTCCTACCTTTAGAGAGTGTCCAGTCTAGGGAGGAGACATTGAACAATCATATAAATGCATATATAATTGTGCCATGAAGAGAAAGTAAAGGGTACAATGAGCAATTATAATATGGGACTCAGTTTGGGTTGGGGTTGCTTAGTGATCTTGGGAACCTTCTGAGAGAAAGTAATATTAAAGTAATATTTAAACTGAAATAACTTCAAAGATTCTGCATGGCTTTTTTTTTTTAAGCTTTTAAAGTTTCTCTCATTTGTATTTCATTTATTTGATTAATTCTTTCATAAAATCTGTTCATTAAGCTTTAGAGGTCTGTAAGACAATTATTCAACAAAGTTATTAAACTTTTATTAGACATTCAGTATTTAGCATTATACTAGGCACTGTACAGTGTTACCAAAATAATTGAAAACAACCTCTTAACTCTTCTGCTCTTCTTTAATCTTATGAATATATTGTACTGTATTCAAACTTTTTTTTTTTTTTTTGAGGAAGATTAGCTCTGAGCTAACATCTGTTGCCAGTCCTCCTCTTTTTTGCTGAGGAAGATTGGCCCTGGGCTAACATCTGTGCCCATCTTGCTCTACTTTATTTGGGACTCCGCCGCAGCATGGCTTGATAAGTGGTGTGTAGGTCTGTGCCCGGGATCCAGACCTGTGAACCCTGGGCTGCCAAAGTGGACTGCGCGAACTTAACCGCTATGCCGCTGGGCCAGCCCCTCAAACAATTTTTAAAATGAAGGCTGCCTGAACCAAGAATGCAGAATACCAATGAATATCTGTAAAATTTTTTTAACCTCCACACATCCACTTTTGTTACACTACTATAATTTTTGCTCAGTCTTTAAAGTCTTTTAGTAAGAACTTGTCTATCAATCTGTCAAAGAATATTAATGCCCATGGCACTGTATAAGATAGAATCCAGCCTTCAGAAACCTTGCATTCTGTGACTATGGCGGTATATTCCATGGTGAGCATAAGTTACCTGAAGAAGCACAATATACATATAACACAAACAGTTCTTCTGTGCATATTAATAAAATCTTCTGTATCTTTAAAAAGTATTTTTTACTAATTATAAAATTAATACATACTTATTATAAAAATTCAAATAATATAGAAAAATATAAATAGAATATGAAAGTTCCCTATAATCCCATTCTGAGATACCCATTGTTAACTATTTGATCTTCAGTCTCATGAACCGCTGTTGAAATACATGTGTTTGCTGGGTAAAAAACTAGACTATTGGTGGTGAACACGATGCTGTCTATACAGAGACTGATATATAATAATGTACACCTGAAATTTACACAGTTATAAGCCAGTATGACCTCAATAAAATAATTAAAAAAAAATATTGCTATCTACACATGATAAAGGCAGTAAAAAAAAGAAAAACAAGTACATCTGTTAAGATCCTTTCTCTTGGTATAATTTACTTGAGGTGTGGGTCTTTGTATTCATACTCTTGTATGTGACTTTGATAGAGTGTCTCATTATCCCCAAATCCAAAGTATACCTGGAAGAAAAGTTTTATATTATATTTGAATGTTTCATGAAGTTACTTGGTAAAATTTTACTGAAATGACTAATACTCAGAAAGGGAGAACTGGGTGATTTATTGAAAAGACATTTGCTCTTTAATAACATCTCCTGCCTTCAGTATTTTCATCAGCTTGGAGGATGATGGTAAGCATTCTAATTCTATTTGGTTTAAAAACATAAATTTTATGGGACCCAGATTTACAATGATTTTTTTATTCCCATGAGTCATTTGAAATGTATTTGTTTGTGTAGAATCTTTTCATTCTTTTTGACATAAATCTAATTTTAAATATTATTTTTAGACCTTTAAAAATCTCAACTGAAGACTTTGGCAAACTCTGGTTATCCTTCGCCAATGATGTAAAGCAAAATGTAAAGATGTCAGAATCTCAAGCCTCTCTGCCTTCTGCCCTAAAGACCCTGCAACAGAAACTAAGACTTCATGTTGTTGACATTATAGGTTTGTAGAATTATTGAAAAGGCAATCCTATGTCTATAGGGGCTTTCTCACAATCAGAACACAAATCAACTCGTGTGTGTGTGTGTGTGAGGAAGACCAGCCCTGGGCTAACATCCGATGCCAATCTTCCTCCACTTTTTTCTTTTATATGGGACGCTGCCACAGCATGGCTTAACAAGCAGTGCGTCGGTGCGCGCCCGGGATCCGAACCGGCGAATCCTGGGCTGCCGCAACAGAGCGCGCACAATTAACTGCTTGTGCCACTGGGCTGCCCCCCCCACAAATCAACTCATAAGTGTCATATTTCTTAGAGCTATATTTCTTGTTATGAGTATCTTTCAGATAAGTGTGTTGTTCAGACTTTATTAAAGAATTTTTTTTTTGTGGTAAACTATACATAATAAAATTTACCATTTTAACCATTTTTGAGTGTACAGTTTAGTGGCAGTAAGTACATTCATGTTGTACAACCATCACCATTATCATCTCCAGAACTTTTTCCTCTTCCCTGACTAAAACTCTGTACCCATTAAACACTAACTGCCCATTCCTTCTCCCTCTCCAGCCCCTGACAACCACCATTCCACTTTCTGTCTCTGTGAATTTGAGTACTCTGGGTACCTCATATAAGTGGAATCATACAATGTTTATTCATTTGTGACTGGCTTATTTCACTTAACATAATGTCTTCAAGGTTCATCCATGTTGTAGCATGTGTCAAAATTTCCTTCCTTTTTAAACCTGAATATTTTTCCATTGTATGAATATACCGCATTTTGTTTTTCCATTCGTCTGTCGATGGACACTTGGTTTGCTTCCACCTTTTGGCTATTGTGAATATTGCTGTTCTGAATATGGGTTTATAGATATCTGTGTTTGAGTCCCTTTTGGTTATATACTCAGAAGTAGAATTACTGGATTATATGGTAATTCTATACTTAGTTTTTGGAGAAGTTGTCATATCGTTTTCCACAGCAAGTGTACCATTTATATTCCCACCAGCAATGCACAAGGGTTCCAGTTTCTCCATATCCTCCCCAACACTTTTATGTTTATTTATTTTGATAATTGCCATCCTAATGGGTGTGAAGTAGTGTCTCATTGTGGGGTGGTTGGTATTGTTTTAATGATCTGTGATGTTGAATATCTTCATTTGCTTTTTGGCCGTTTGTATACTTCTTTGGAGAAATGTCTGTTGAAGTCCTTTTATATTAAAGAATTTTTAATTTTTGTTTTGTTGTAGGCAATGAAGGGCTATTGGCCTGTCAGCTGCTCCCATGCATCCCCTGCCTGCTGCATTTCCGAGTTCACGGTGACATGTTAGCCTTGTGGTTCAGATCCTCCTGCTCTACTCTTCCTGACTATTTACTGTATCAGTGTCAAAAGGTGATGGAGGGATCCTAGCAGAAGTTGTGTTTATATTTTACTCCATCAAAATGAATGGTTTACATAGATAAACTTATTTACCAAAGTAAAAAGAACTCATGGTACTTCTAGTGAAAATGGGGATTATTACAAGTTGTGGTTTTATGTGTTTTCTTTGTGATTTTTGATCAAGAAGGATCCCCAAGAAACTGTATCCCTAACCTTTTACTCAGGATTGTACAGTTTGTTTGGGTCCCAAAAAAGTGACCTAAGCTAATATTATAAACTGCTAATGATTTCTATATCACTTAGTGTGAGGGACTGAAAATATTTATTTTGTTATAAATAATTTTATAGCAGATTTACTCTAGTGCTAGCTGATTTGTAGTAAAGCCAAGTCTCAGTTCTCTGCATTAATGGAGGGGAGACATGGAATTGATAATCCCAAACCTAATTCATATCTGGCTTTGGAATGCAGTGTATGCTTTTTGGTAGGCAAGTCATTACTTTCAGTTATGTTGACACTAAGTATCAGTGTTGAACTAAGTTGGCACAGCACACACTAACAGTTCAAGAGATCCAGGAGCATGCTGGATATTGGGGAGATTCAATCTGTGATATGGTCTTTATTGCAGATAACTTGTTACACATAACTGCAGATAATTTGGCTACAAAATTTGTCTGTTTTCCACTTGCATTTATTTTTAAAATTCAAAGTGAATCACTTATTTTATTTTAAAAACTTACTTTAAAAACTTAGAGCCAATTACAAAATATCATACAGAAACAAAACCCATAAAAGCACACAGTACTAATGCAAATAGATGTAAAAGGACTTTTTGGTTATGGCAAGTATCTTAGTCAGTTACCACTTAAGTCCTTTTGGTAAATTAAAATTTGTGATTAGAGTATAAATGGCAAAACTGTCTTTCCTGGCCTTTGAATCCACTAGTACTCGGTGCATACAACAGAAACATAAGTATACCATACAGGTTCTTCAGTAAAATACATCATTTTCATGTGATAGTTGTGCCCATATGGCCTCTGTCAGAACTGTTATCAGTAGAAGAAGAGGTTAAGCCCAATATGAATGATGGACCAGAATCTTGAGATTGTACATTAAGGTTAAAAACTGAAATAGTATTTTATAAAACCTTACGGTGCTGTGGAAAATATTTATTATTTCACTTTTTCTGATACTTCACCATGGAGACTATTCAGGTAATATAGTTTTAAGTCATTGCAGTTAATACTCTGGTTAATTGGTACTGTTTATCACCGAGGTGTAGAATTCTGGTTTTAGGTTATCTCGTTAATCATATCTGATAAAGATGCTAAGGGGGTTCCCCAGAGCTGATAGATTTCATTAGTCATTCATGTCTAGCGTATTCCTCCCTAAAAACAAAAGCAGTATTTTTTAAACTAATTTTTAAGTTATTCATTAAAAACAATGTAAGACCTCATTAATTTTATGCTTTTAAAAACATACAGTAAAACCTTGCTACAACAGCAATGAAAAGTGACTGGAATTTCCTGTGTAGGTTTCTCCTTTTGAATAGAAGATCAGATTCATCCTCAAGCTCCCAGCAGTGTCATGGTGACGGGCATGTGCTGTCTGGGGGGGTGTGCTAGACACTGTGGCTGAACTCATCAGCTTCCTCTTTCTTCCTACTTCTGTCGGCAGCACCCCCCATCCCACCTGATTCTGCTGTTACTCTGACAGAGATAGGACGTGCCCTCTCACTTTGCGGAGGAATGCAGCGTGTAGCAGAGGAGGTGCTCCAGTGTTTTGTGTCCTTACTTCCACGTGTTTGCATGGTTACCGCGCCTGGGTCTAGTGTGGAGCAGTAGATGTGAGGTGCCCAGCAAGCGGAGGGACAGCTGTCTGGGAGAGAGTACAGTGCGCTGCTGTGCTGCTTTGTTACAAGGCTGCTCCTGAGTGGCAGCAGCCGTTGTCACGAGAGACGTGCTCGGCCTACAGAGCTGTCTCATGGTGGGAGGTGTGTAATGGTAGGTTAAGGGGTAGGGCTGGGAGCGTGATTTTGGGTCTGCCAAAGGGGACACGGGGTCACTTTTGTGCTCTCTGAACCCGCTAAATAAAAAGTGGGGTAACAGGGTTTCCACTGAAATGTTTAGTAGAGTGTTTACAATTTTTATATTTTTGTGGTTTTAAAAACAAACAACAATAATAGGAAAGAGTAGATTTTAAAGCACTTCAGAGCAGTATCTATACTGCCTAAACTAAGTCAATGTTTTAAGTTCTAAATTGGGCATCACCAACCTTTTCTGCATTGTAGGAGATGTGACTATAAAGTAGGGAGAATGATTTTTGTGGGTAGATCGTCTCTTTACCTTACAGACATAATTTAGTCAAGTGAAGGGGCAACCTCTCGAGTGAGAGCTGTGCGGGGATACTCAGCTGTGTGAGTTCTGTGCCGGGCGTCTTTGCTGGGAGTACAGGTGGCAGCAAGTGGGGATCTAGGGGAGAGTAAAGGGCAGACGGGAAAGCCTTACGAGCAGGTGGAGGAAGAAGGATCAGGCTCCCACCAGAATAGTCCCTGTGGAGGCAGGCAGATCAGGCTCAGGGGAAAGTGGGCTCCAGGGAAGGGTCATTCTAAGAAACTGCGGATGGAAGCTGAGCAGCTGTCAGGTGCTAACGTGCCACGCCTGCCAAGCCCAGCACATGCTCTGCAGAGGAGCACTGTTTGAAACGAGATTCTACTACCATCTACCAAAACAGTGGTGGTGAAAAGGCAGTATTTTATTTTTTCCTTTGTTTTATTTCACGTCAATAATATTTTAAAATATTGAGCTGTTTGTCTTATTTTTCACGGATAAATGTGGTCTTTTTCTCATGATTGAGAGCCACTGAAAGTGCACTGAAGCTATTCACATGTCTTTAAGGTGTTTTGCTGTGTTAAAATTTTAGGAGTGAAAAATGCAAGTGAATAACAACTTAACAGGCATCAATTACCTTATTTTGGAGTTGAATTCTGTAATTTGAAAAGATTCAGTTAAACATGTAATAAATACAAAGTGATCTGTACTGTTCTTTGGTCTATATATTCTTTATTATCTAAATAGCTGAATAATAAGTAATACTATTCAGTAATTTGATAAACATTAGCTAAAAAGAGCAGAAGCAATTGGAATGGGATGAAAAGAGTAATTTACTCATTGTAGCCCCAAAGAATCTGGTCTAATTGGTTAAAAGTAAAGATACTGTGGTTCCATGTGATGTTCAGAGAGAACTTTGTGGGCTTCAGATAGGTTAGAGTGTGGTTTGGTCCTTGAGTGCCTGTCCATATCCCCTGCTTTTATCCTAGCCTGACCAGAGTATTCAAAGCAGAGTGTTCTGTTTTATAATGCCGTTTCCTTACAGCTGCCTCAAGATGCAGGAAACATAGTACGTCAGATGGAGACTTAGTGACCAAAGACTCTGAGTCCCCTGGCTATCTCTGCATTGTGTATTCTAAAACACGAAGCTAGATCAGAAATGGCGTTTAAATTTCACTGATTTATGCCTCTTGTTGGCTATAATGTATAGCAGGAAAAAAGTTCTGAGACTTGAAGCCCCTTCTTTGGGGCGCTGAACGTAAAGGAGGTTTAAATGCACCACACCCACTGCAGTAATTGAAAAGAAGGCAGCACTTGAAGAGAGAGGTGCCCTGCAGCCAAATGGGCCAGGGTTAATGACTTTATGAAAGTTGCTTGCTTATGTGTGTGCATAATGAGAGACTGTGAGCCTTTTATGCTTGGGAACCATGTGCATATTTTTATGTCCCTTTTGCCTAGTACGTAATAGGGACTCAGTAATAGGCGCTTGACTTATTGAATGAATGACTAAAGAGACCTGTCCCCTCGAAATAAGTAATCTGAGACCAGGTAATATACAGGAATTGATTTTAGTAATCCTGTGGCTCTCTCAGAAGTAAAGAAAAGTGATCATCTTATCTGGTTTATAGATATGTCAGTGGAAAAGGGTTTTGGTGAAAATAGCTTCTGCTAGTTTGTGCCAGGTAGGAGAGAGGAAACATGACTGCTTGATGAGACCCTTACCAGCATGAAGGCTAAGTCCTATGAGACCTTGCCATGCCATTTAAGAGATCTCTGCAAATGCAGTGTGATTACAAATAGAAATCATGACTTGAAGGAGGGGGACTTTTCTGTATTATAGCAGATGTCCATAAAGTTTTACTGGTCTAGAAGAACTTGTTCTGGGGCAGAAAGCGGTAGACATTTGATCATTGAGGTTAAAGATAGGGAGCTAGTGAATATGATAAGGCAGATTTACCAGCTAAATTAGCATCATCTATTTCTTTAGAAAGTGAGCACTATGATAATGGGAGAGACAACTACATTGACATTAATAACGTCAAGAGCATTGGGAAAGTTGGGAAAGAACAGGCCCTCTGGGGTAAAGCAGCAGGAAAAGGAGTTACTTAAAAGGAAATGTGTTTCATTTGCATTACATGGGAAAATTTATGATAGGTGCATGGATCCAAGATAGGAGCGTACCCAAAAAATGAGTCTCTGAGAACGCTGAGACCTTAGAGATTATGGCCTGGATACAGAGTAGATGGGCTGGCTGTGGGGAAAGTACAGATGATGACAAACACCATGAGTTTTCTGGAGCACCTGTAATGCTGAAAAAATAGAGTGTCCTTGTAAGTGTTTGCAGCTAGATTGTGGGCTTCTTTCCAAGGGAAGGAATCAATTTCCTTTAGTTATTTTAAACTGTTTTCCTAAGTGGATGAGTACTTTTCCTTCCCCAAAACATTCAATTGCCAATGTGACTAAATGGCTGACCTTAGGAAGTTTTTCCCTAATGGGATCTGACAGGACATATGCCAAGTGGATAAAGATTAGAGCCAGGAGATTATTTGTATTTCAGTGAGAGAAAAGTAATTAGACATCTGTTTAATTGCACATCTCCTCCACCCCTTATATTATGTGACAAGTAGGAACAAGGGCAAGGCATATATATTCTTAGGGAGAGGCATTTGGTCTGAATTGCTACTACATAATTTAACGATGGTAAGGGCAAAATCAGTGACTAGAACAAGCTGATCCCCATTGATGATAGATATCAAGGCATAAGAATTTTATTTCTTCATCTTAGTTGGCTGAGTAAAGGATGATGGGGTTAAATAGAAGAGTTATTGTGAGCTATGGGAAAAAAGAAATGATTTGAACCCAAATACTGCACCATTCTTCATCTATAGAAGTGATAAGAGTGCCTTTTGTTACTCATAAGGAGCCTCTTTGAGCACACTTGAGTTTATACTAATGAGATGGCTTAGAGTAGGGCTCTTTATACATAGCCTCAGAATGGGACTGGTCACCAGAAAGACCAAGTAATCAGAGAGTTGGAACTTTCAGCCCCACCCACCAACCTCAGGGAAGGGAAGGTTTGGGGGCTGGAGATTAAGCTCTATAAAAAGTCTTGAACAATGGGATTTGATGAACTTCAGTGTTGGTGAACGCATCCACATCCTGGGAGGGTGGTGCAGCCCAGTTCCATGGGGGTAAAGATCCTGTGCTCTGGACCCTTCTGTTTCTCACCTTATGTACCTCTTCATTTGGCTGTTCATCTGTATCCTTTATAATATCCTTTATAATAAACTGGTAAACATAAGTAAATGTTCCTATGAGTTCTATGAGCCACTCTAGCAAATTAATTGAACCTGAGAAAGGGAGTCGTGGGAACCTCCGGTTTATAGCCAGTTGGTCAGACAACCTGGACTTGCAATTGGCATCTGAAGTGGGAGCAGTCTTGTGGGACTGAGCCTTTAACTTGTAAGATCTGATGCTATCTTCAGGTAGATAGTGTCAGAGTTGAGTTAATTTGTAGGACACCCAGTGTATGTCTCCTGAGAATTGGAGAACTGCTTGGTGGTGTGGGAAAAAAATGCATCAATTGACAAATAAATATTGTATATACTTAGGTTGTACAATGTGGTTTTGTTTTTGTTTTTGTTTTTTTTGGTGAGGAGGATTGGCCCCGGGCTAACATCTGTTGCCAATCCTCTTCTTTTTGCTCGAGGAAGACTGACCCTGAGCTAACATCTGGCAATCTTCCTCTATTTTGTATGTAGGTCGCCGCCACAGCATGGCTTGATGAACGGTGTGTGGGTCCACACCCGAGATCCGAACCTGCGAGCCCCGGGTTGCCAGAGCGATGTGCACTGAACTTAACCACTATGCCACTGGGCTCGCCCCTACAATGAGATTTTTTTTAAAGGTGTACAACATGATTTAATATACATTGTGAAATGATTACCACAGTCAGGTTAGTTAACACATCCATCACTTCACATAGTTACTTTTTATGTGTATGGTGAGAAAACTTAAGATTTTAGCAAATTTCAAGTATACAATACAGTATTACTAACTGTAGTCACCATGCTGTCCCTTAGATTGGGGACCTTTTTAAAATCCCATGCCCGAGACCATTAAATCAGAATCTCTGAGGGCTGGGACCCAGGCTTCCACCTGCAGTTACACCACTGGTAATTACAATGCACAGCCAAGTCTGAGAACCACTGTTTTAGATGCTGTCTTACCCTGCTCTTCTCTTCCTCAATGGGATTGTTTGTGATTGTGTTTTCCCCACACTCCTTCCTGCAATTGAGATTGATTAAAAGTAATTAGGTATTGAGTGTTTGGGAGGTAAGTAATGGTGTTATTTGGGAAGATTGGGTAGGTATAGGGGAGGAGTATATAAAAAGTTGTAGGTATATAAAAAGTTGTAGGTCCTGGGGAGATGGTGGCAGTAGCAACTTAGTGTTTGAATTTCCCTGAATTGCCACATGAAAATGGGCAGAGAAACTAGATAGCAAACCCAAAAACCCACATACAATTTTTGTAACAAAACTAAGTGACAGGGTAACCCCATGAGCCCCAAAATACAAGCAGGTGGGGACAAGTTACTGCAGCCAAAATATGTGGATATTATTTGCAGCTCTACAGGAGGAAGCAAAGGGAAACAACAGTTGTCTTATAGACCTGAGAACAGGACAACTCCAGAATAGCCAACAGATCTCTGGAATGCACAGTGGGTCAATTTGAGATTAGCATCTGAAACTGGAAGGGGTTTTGCACAATTCAGGGAATGAGTGTGAGGCACAATAAAGATCTGAAGCAGTCTAGCCCCTATGAACTCTTGAACTGACTGGTCAAGGCTCCCTTCCAGAATAGGACAACAACATACTGAGGAGAAACTGCTTGGAGAGGTATCAAAATTGAGCAGGACACATAGGCTCTGATGTCAGACTATCAAATTTTGATTCTTGGCTCCACTAATTACTAATTTGTGTCTTTGGGCAAATGTCTTAACTTTCGTTGAGACTTTTGTCTTAACTTTTGTCTTAACTCTGTGTCCCAGTTTCTCATCTGTATAATGGAGATGATAATAATATCTCCCTTATGAGATTATTGTGAAATGAGGTCAGGTACATAGTGATTCATGTGATCATGATCTCTGTTTATTAACATCATTAGGAGAAAAAAAATGAAAAAAAAAGAGGGGGCAATAAAGATGAAGGAAAGAAATGGTCCAGATAAATGTGGGGAAGTTTAGTAGAGCCAGAAAACATCAGAAAGCAAGTTGCCATTTTTTTTGTGTGTGAGGAAGATTGGCCTTGAGCTAACAACTGTTGCCAATCCTCCTCTTTTTGCTGAGGAAGATTGGCTCTGAGCTAACATCTGTGCCCATCTTCCTCCATTTTGTATGTGGGATGCAGCCACAGCATGGCTTGACAAGTGGTGCATCAATCTGTGCCCGGGACTCGAACCTGCAAACCTTGGGCTGCCGAAGCGGAGCGCACAAACTTAACCACTATGCCACCGGGCCAGCCCCAACTTGATATATTTTTTAACCTTATAGAAAAAACAGAAAAAAGAGAGCTTTGTGAAGTTAGAAAAGCTATTCTGAACCATGTCTCCTGAATATTTAGAAAAGCTGATTTTGTAGAAATATAAGCAACAGAAAAATACCTTGGTCAAATCCCATATAAACTGATTATGAGGGGGAGGGAGAGG